AGCTCCGCCAGAGTCCTGTCCTCTCCCTTACTATTAAAGAAAAGTCTGGTTGACATTCACACTTTTCCGGCCATGGAGGACGAGTAGAATCGAGTCACTTTATGAAACTCAGATGGAATCTCTCACCCCCTTTTCAATCACTCAGGAGTGCACCCCACTCCCGAGGCGACATTATCAATGCGCGCACTCCTACAACCACCAATATTCGGCATTGTTGATTCATTCCGATCTAGAAGATATATTCGGCCTTCGGAGTCCATACTTTGGCTGGGGGAAGGGCAGATTTATTAATCTGATCGGCCAAATACCTAAGCCCGATGCCGATCGATTTGTGCCACAACCACTCCATGAACTAATTAGATTCGGCTTTCGGAGTCTATATATTGGCTGGGGCAAGGGCAGATTTATTAATCTGATCGGCCAAATATCTAAGCCCGATGCCGATCGATTTGTGCCGCAGCCACTCCATGAACTAATTAGATTCGGCTTTTGGAGTCCATACATTGGCTGGGGCAAGGGCTGATTTATTAATCTGATTGGCCAAATACCTAAGCCCGATGCCGATCGATTTGTGCCGCAACCACTCCATGAACTAATTAGATTCGGCTTTCGGAGTCTATACATTGGCTGGGGCAAGGGCTGATTTATTAATCTGATCGGCCAAATACGTAAGCCCAGTGCCGATCGATTTGTGCCGCAGCCACTCCATGAACTAATTAGATTCGGCTTTCGGAGTCCATACATTGGCTGGGGCAAGGGCAAATTTATTAATCTGATCGGCCAAATACCTAAGTCCGATGCCAATCGATTTGTGCCGCAGCCACTCCATGAACTAGATTTATTAATCTGATCGGCCAAATACTTAAGCCCGATGCCGATCGATTTGTGCCGCAGCCACTCCATGAACTAATGATATTCGGCTTTCGGAGTTCATACATTGGATGGGGTAAGGGCAGATTTATTAATCTGATCGGTCAAAAACCTAAGCCCCGTAAACTAATGATATTCGGCAAGATCACATTTATTAATCTGATCACATTTATTAACCCTTAGTTATCTAATTGGCAAGTGTACACGAACGTTTATCTACCGCACGACAGGCGGCAATAGTTTTACCCAAAATACCGAAAACAAACAGTAATCTTCATCGATAATCACAATTAAATACAGGAAATAATGCAAGGTAAGGGAAATATTCATTCATAAATTGAATACGGCATAGTCATCATTTTATACATGAAGATTACCCCAAGCAAATAGATGTCTACTAAGAAAACAAAACGTGTTTACAAGAACATACATTGAAAATTCCTAACAAAATTAAAATGTCTCCCAAATCAATCATCAGGATCAGACTCAAGTGGCTCAACGTCCACTTGCTCGTATGGAATTGGCATGGCCAATGTCACTCCAGCGACAGCAAGGGCTTTGAGCCAGCCGTGTTTGAATCCTCGATTCTCGAATTTGGGGACTTCTTCTACATAGTTTTCAAGGGCGGCACTCTTCATAGCTTCGAACGCCGCGGAAGCCTTGGAGTCGGTTTTTTCCTCAGCCTTCTTTGACTCTTCCAATTCGGCCTCCAGCTTGGCAAGCGCCTCCTTGGCTAACTTGAGCGATTCCTCGCTCGCGTTTGCCCTCTCCTCGGCGTCGGATTTGAGCTGGTCAGCAGTCCGCGCCCTCTCATTCTCAGCTTCGGCTCATGCATTTTTCATTGTGGCTCTTGCTGCCTCGAACTCGGCTCTGCTCCTCTCACCCTCGACTTCCGACTTCAAACGGCCAATTCTTTCAACGGCATCATGCTGGCGGCAGCCTATTTCGGCTATCCTTCTAACCGTCTGCAAAACAAGGAGCTGGGATCGTCACATACCAAGGAATACCGTCTGCAAACCAAACCAAAACAAGGAATTAGGATCAAGTCACATACCAGAAGGGTTGATTGGGCCGCTAATGCTATTGCTACCAAATCCGGCTCGGCACGAAAGGTTGCCTTGTCAGCCGGCAATGAGACCGAGGCAGCTAAGCTCAATGCCACAGCTAGATCTTTTAAGGCCGAAGCTTCGGAGGAGATCGGCATGTTTTTTATTTTTGGTTTAACAACAAAAGGAGTAACCACACCCGACTCCTCTAAGCGTGGCTGTTTATCAACGGGGTTCTCCTTAGAGCCGGCCTCGCTCTCGGCGATACGTTTTTCTGCCTGATCTTTTGGAATCGGCCGTTCGGCATCCTTCTCCATCTCGGCCACATGAACTTGAGCCGTTTCTTCTACAATAATAGGTTTGGAGGATTCAGTCGGGGTAGGTCCAAAACGGATGGCCTCGGCTTTCCGTCGGGCGGCTATGCATTCGGCATTTTTCTTTCGTGCCAACTGCGTGAGACTTTCCCCAGCCATACCCTCAGAATAAGCGCCGGGAAGGTCTCCCAAATTTGTAAAAATATCTTCGAGGCGTCCCCTCGGCCTGATGTGGACGGAGGGTCGGACGAGTTGAGTCCGACTTCCTCAAAGGCCGAGTTAAGAGCTTCGTCAACCTTCGCTGCTAACTGGCCCGGGTCCTCGACGATTGGTTTGGCCGCTTGTTCTTCTCTGTGTTCCGAATCAGATGTTTCTAAACCAATCTGCCTTAAGTTCTTGAAGCTGGGGAAGATAAGGGCTGTAAGATGGTTGTCGCCTCGCAAGATTGGAATGTTGTCTGTCGCCGAAAATGTCGTGTAAGTCGGCTCGTACCATATGAGAATGTGGGTTGCCCTCCCTTGTTTTTGAAGGTTTGGACGGTCGACGAACTGTAGCGCGGTTTTAATTTCTGCAAGCACAGCGTCGTCGTCTGAAACCAATGCTCTCTTCAAGTCACTACCTGCATAAACAAAGCGATTAGATGTATATAGTGCCGAATACAGATATTGTAATAACAGAAACAAAAGTGATCTAATCGGCCACCTGGTTTACCTTTTCGCCTTGGCACGGGGTCTAGGCGATCTTCACCCTTGCCGAATTCTCAATTGCCTCAGACAACGACCATCACGTCATCAACACGCTTGCCAGAGTTGGCAAGCATAGTCACTAAGTGATGATTAGTATCCTTGGTTCCAAGAAAGTAGTGTCCTAGTCGGCCAGTAGATTTGGCTAGGACATAACAATGCCGAACGGCGGGTATACCTAAATTAATCCTAAGACGCCGGTTTAGCTCTACAATCCCCATTATGATGTGGAAAAAATTCACGTTGGGCTGGGAAGGGATTAGACCCCAGTATCGAAGAACGACCCTCAAAAATAGGTGAAGGGGAAAGCGGATTCCGCCCTCAGCAATTGACAGGAGAAGAAAGACGATTGTGCTCTCATCATCTCTCTCCATATCAATGGTGCTGTCTGCCAAAAGTGACAGATGGAAGTCATTGGGGATGGCAAAATGGCGTCGAAAGCCGGAGATATGATCCGCTGAAAGGAGCTCCTTCAGATGTTTTTCCATCCTGGCCCGCCCAAGGATTATGGGAAACCAAAAGCAAACAAGGAAGTGGGATCGGAACTGAAGGAGAAGAAAACTTACAGGAGATGAAGGGGAAAACGAGAAACAAGGAGTTGCAGAAGCCGCGAAGTGAAGGAGTTGCACTAGAAGGCGAACTAGATATTTTTGAGTATTCAAAACATACATTTGAAGAAACAATTTTAAATCACATTAAATGGAGGCAGTGTATGAAGGGGCGGGAAATCGTTATAATGACCAAAAAGCGTGTACGCGTTCTGACATGCATTGGGAGGAGGATTAACCGCCGAATTTTTGACTTTCCAGGCTTGAAGCCAAACACGCCGACTAACTGATGCTAGTGGGGTGTTTGGGGCGCAATTGTGGGAGCTGAATTTCATTGGATCAATAGGGACAAATGGACGAGTCTAGTCCGGGACATAATATTTATTCGGCATTGATCTTGGTCAATTGAAGAGCCGAACAAAATAATCGGCTTTCCAATCAATAGAACAAAGGCCGAGTATAAGTACATGTAAAGGATCGCGGATGGGCCTGGCCCTAGGGCCCAACGAGAATAATATAAATACAGGATCATCAGTTAGAGAAAGGTATGTGAGAACCATTACGCTTAACTTAAAATACAAGTAATCCAGAGAGTAGAGACTGATTTGCCCGTCGGAGTGCTAATTCCGGCACCCCCGATCGGAGTGTTCATTCCTTTTCAGGTGGCTAGCTGAGGATCACGAGCGTCCCCCAGGATCATAAGGGTACTTCCAAACCACTTCTCCACAGTCTCAAACATGAGTTTAAATTCCCCCTCCGTCTAAATAAGAAAGAAAGGTACTTGCAGTGGGAACTTAGAAGTTTGTAGACTGAATTTTTCTTAGCGCATAATGAAAGAAATTGCTTCCGATACTACGTAGGCACTTAAGCCATGCCACTTAACAGGCTATTCTGCAATGGCATTGATAAATCGTCAGTTGTTCTAATCGGTCCCTTGCTGGTAAGCCTCTATAGGCCTCTATGTTGAATTCCTCGATTTAATTGGTCACAACTCTTGCATCTGGAAACTCTACATTTGTAATGTTAAGTTATATATAGCACAATCTAATGTATTCATCAAGGTAGCCTATTTGCCAGCGCAAGGCGTTATGTGGTAGTTTGTGACCTGGTGTTGTGAATAGTGTGCTCCAATATTTGTTCAATTATGATGGGGATAGATCCATTTATGGCTTCTCAGGTCCACCTAATCATGAAGGCCATTGATTACTTATTTACCCCTTCCAGAAAAGAAAAAGAAAAAGAAAAAGAAAACAGCTACAGTGTAGGTGCTTTATGCACCTGTTTGGATCTGGTGTTCAAGGCATAAACATATTGTATTTTTGAAAATGGTTAAATCAATTTAAGGAAAAATGAATTCAAAATTTTGAGAACCGCAACGAATTAATGATCTGGCATTTCAATTTTTTTTTTTTTCCCCTTTTGAAGTCATTGTGCTACATTTATTTTAACTCAAAGGGTGTGCTCTCCATGGAAATGCAGCTAATAGCTCAGATCAAACGAAGGATCAGGATCTGCTATCCCATCTGTTGAGTAACCTTTCTAGTCTTGCTGGCTCAATTAATGGGACAAACTTATCTGGATTATTGCCTGGTTCTCAAGATTCACATAATGCTGCGACATGTCTTCCAACTCCAGAAAAGGTTTCAGATCTGATTTCAAATGGTCCTCAATACAACTCAGTTCTTGCTTCTACTTCTAAGATGGATGATTGCATTGATATTCAGGATCCTCTGAGGCCTAATGGACAATGTGCGACTGTATCTGCATTTGAAGGGACAGAGAAGAGAACTTCCGCAAACAATACACAGGATGGACTGCTTCCAACTCCATATGCAATTCCATGTCCTATGAGAGACGGCATTCCAGCCAAAGCAAGTGTCCCGGAAAATGGAATGGGACGGATAAAATTGAATGACATAGACTTGAATACTGTTTACGATGATTCTCAAGACTGCGCAGAAAACCTGGAGGGTTATCATGCTCCTGTAAATCTGGGGATTGGCTCTCTTGATTGCACTCTATGGGTTCCTCATGGCAGTCAGAAGTCCAGCCCTCCTCAGATGAGTGGGATTTCCGGCTCCACATCCACCCAGTCACCATCTAGTTCCAGTGGGGAGGCTCAGGTATGAATTTGTTGTGATTGCATTTCACTGAATGGTTGCTAATAGAAATTTGAAATTTAACTGTGAAACACCTAGCATGGATTGATGAATATAATTATCTATATATCATAAATGTTGCTCCGTCATCGATTAAATGTTTTGATATGGAATTTTTGCAATTTTTGTTACCATGGCTGTGAGTTCTGTTATTTGATAAAAGTTTGTTTACTTTTGTTAGCATGACTTAGAGGTGATATTTTTATCTGAGATGTCATTTTAATAGATTGCGGAGAGCTTGGGTGGTGGCGCCCATGTGCTTGATATGGTGCATTTGGGGGCAAAGAAACTGACGGACACTTAATGGTGTAGAGATGGCAATTCATAGATTAAAATTATTGTTAATTTGTTGTTTTATTTTCTGGCTAAAAGAGAAATCTGTGAGTCATTCTTTTCTTTAATTGATTTAATATGAGAGCTCAGTTTTGCCAAGTGTTTTGTGCAGTGTGAGAAATCTAGTGTACTTGGATGGTTCACCCTAGGTGTCTTTTCCTATTACATAAAAGCTGTTTATTTTAAATTATTTTAATTAAATTTATAAAATCTATAGTTATGATTTATTGTTCAATCCTCATGGTCTTACATTTTCAGTTTATGCTTTGTAACTACTAAAAAACTTTTGTTAACTTTTGCATAGAGTAATAATCAACACGAATGGAGCATGCTCCCAAACCAAACCAAAATAAGCCTTGTGTCTCAATCAAGTGGGATCGGTTGCATGAATCTCTTTTCGCCCATATGCTCTGCTAAGGGCCATATGCTCAGTCAAATTAAATAAATTCATACATTTATTACTAGCACATCCCATGTTAGTTTTGCTCTTCCCCTTCCCCTAGCATTTCTATGTATGGTGATTGTATTACTCTTCCTTACAATTGCATCTATAGGTCCTCATTGTACAAGACCAAACCATCTTGGCATGTTTTCTCACAACTTATTTTCAATTGGTGTTACTCCTACTTTTTTCACAAATATATTCATTTTTTATTCTATATTTCTTAGTCTTATGACACATCCATCCATGCATTTTCATCTTAACTACACTCATTTTATGAACATATTATTTCTTAGGATTATGTCAATTGTTTTTGGCCTTGAGGATTTCTCTTCTTATCTCCTTTTTTTTTGCTGACTAATTTTCAGAGTCGCACAGATCGAATTGTTTTTAAACTCTTTGGAAAAGATCCAAGTGATTTCCCTCTTGTACTGCGGAAACAGGTATCTTTGTGCTGTGAAGTTACTTGAATATAGTTGTTTAATGTTACTTCAACGGATTTTTTATTTGTTAATTGTTTCAAATTTTCAGATACTTGACTGGTTGTCTCACAGTCCTACTGAAATTGAAAGCTACATAAGACCTGGCTGTATCATATTAACGATCTATCTTCGATTAGGGAAATCCACATGGGAGGAGGTAAGCCTATCTGTCATTACTATGAATAGATACTGCTAATCCTCATCCTGGAAAATCCCTTCTAATGCTTTAAGTTACTGTTGCTGTGTACAGCTTTACTGTGATCTGAGCTCCAGTTTGACTAGGCTTCTTGATGCATCAATTGATTCTTTCTGGAGAACAGGGTGGGTGTATACTAGGGTGCAGCAACGTGCAGCATTTATATATGATGGTTTGTTCTTTGCTTTTCTATGGTTTATGTCTTTTCTGCTGTTACTTTTTTAATATCATGTCACCGGGATGAGCAGCAACACTTCTAATAGTAGGCTAATTTGTTTCTCTTGTTTGTTCTACAGGTCAGATTGTTTTGGACACACTGTTACCTCTTAAATGCCATAAAAATCGCAGTATCTTGAGTATCAAACCGATTGCTGTTTCTTTCTCTGAGAGAGCTCAGTTCTTAGTTAGAGGCTTCAACCTGTCCCGGTCTAATACAAGGTACCCTTTATTAACGTTACATGTTCATCTACACTAGTCATATAGGCAACATTCTGCATTTCAGGTTTTATTTTGATTTTCTTGCAATCTTTTGTGTCATTGCACATTTGCTAAGTTATTTCTACTTTCTGTTTCAGGTTACTATGTGCACTAGAAGGGAAGTATCTGGTGCAGGAAAGTTGTTCCGACGTGATGGAGGTAGGTGATACATTTGTTGATGGTGATGAGATCCAGTGCCTTAGCTTTTCTTGCTCTATACCAAATGTCACTGGGAGAGGATTTATTGAGGTAAGCTCATCCTGGCTAACATTGGTTTGTTGACCTCTTCCAAAATTAGGCTTTTGAACTTGTTTTTTTAGTATGCCCTCATTCAAGCAACACAACATATGGGTATGCTATCTATGCCACAATTTTTCCTATTATCTGAATTATGAACTGTTATTTACTCCTTTCAGGTTGAGGACCAGAGTCTCAGCAACAGCTTCTTTCCATTTATAGTCACAGAACAGGATGTTTGCTCTGAGATCTGTACTCTTGAGAGTGCAATAGAGGTGGCTGAGATTGCTGATGACATTCATGCAGAATCTGAAATGATAAAAGCCAGGAATAATGCAATGGACTTCATACACGAAATGGGTTGGCTTCTTCACAGAAGTCAGTTGAAGTTCAGATTGGATCACATGGATCCCAATTTGGATCTATTTTCTTTCAAACGGTTCAGGTGGCTAATGGAGTTCTCCATTGAGCATGACTGGTGTGCTGTAGTGAAGAAACTTTTGGGCTTTGCGTTTAATGGTACCGTGGATGCAGGAGAACATTCTTCCATTGAACTTGCATTGCTTGACATGAGCCTCCTTCACAGAGCTGTGCGGAGAAATTGCAGATCTATGGTGGAAGTCCTTTTGAGATACATCCCAGATGGAGTTATCGATAAACCAGGCTCTGAACAGAAGCAGCATGTTAATGTATTTAGACCAGATGCCATCGGCCCTGGGGGTTTGACTCCTCTTCACATAGCTGCTGGTATTGATGGCTCAGAGAGTGTGTTGGATGCTTTAACCGATGATCCTGGATCGGTATTGTCTCCTTGCCTAGTATATTTTATGATTGTTTACTTGCATTATGAAGCTTTAGAATTCACATAAGAAGCATGGATGCAGACATGGGACACGGTGATTCTCAAAAAATTAGGATACAAACACAACATGGATACAACCAAAAAAAAAAATCTATTTTTTTTAACCATGTGTATGAATATAAATTTAGGATACATAGATATGTGAGGTTTGAAAATATATGTGGGTATATTTGTATTTTTTTCTATTTTTTCCTCGTTATTTCCATATAATTTACTTTGACCCCAAATCAGCTTTTTAAAATCTTACAAAAACAAAACTTATAAAGGTATCTTGAGGCATGTCCAAGCATAGGACACGCGTGTTTATGAAGTGTTCTTAATGTGTCCTACAAAAAGAAATATAAATATATATATGTATATATATGTATAAAATTGATATATCACGTGGCATGTCGGACATGTGGGGATAAACATATGCCCACTGTGTCTGAAACAGACGTGGCACCCATCTTGGAGTGTCGTGCTTCTTAGACAATTGGAGACCACCTGACACAAGTTTTGAATTTTTTTTGCTTTCTACTTGGTGCTCTGCATTTTTTGCCAACCAATAATTTTGTCCCTTGATGGGTCATAGCTTCGAAGTTTGTTTCACTTAAATGGATCAGAATGATCAGTTTTTACTGCGGAAAAATAGATATTTTACTTCTCAATCAGGATGATGCTGAAAATTGATGTATAAAAAATGAAATTTTATGTCCCTTGATGTGTGCCTGGACATCATGTTTTAACATGTTCTCCAAGAAGAAAACATTCTCTGTGCTGATGTTGATTGCCACATTTCAGGTGGGAATTGAAGCATGGAAGGGTGCCCGTGACAGTATGGGAATGACACCAAATGATTATGCATGCCTGCGAGGTTACCATTCCTACATTCATCTGGTCCAGATGAAAATCAACAGGAAGAAATCAGGAAATGGGCATGTAGTGCTTGAGATCCCTGGTGCACTCTTAGAATCCAACATCAAGCAGAAACTGATGGATGTGCATAAGTCCTTGAAAGTTGCTAGCTTTCACACCGAGAAGAATGAAATGAAGCCAATTCAGCGAGATTGCAGGCTATGTCAACAGAAGATGCCATATGGCAGTTACAGAACATCACTGGCTACCTACAGACCAGCAATGCTTTCAATGGTGGCTATTGCTGCTGTCTGTGTATGTGTGGCTCTTCTCTTCAAAAGCTCACCTGAAGTTGATTATGTTTTCGAGCCCTTCATATGGGAACGTTTGAAGTACGGATCAAGCTAAGATAGAGAATAGGTAGTAGTTTCCTCGATTATTGACGACAATATATATTTTTTTAAATTCATGTTCATGAGATAAAATGTAGCATGTACGGATGATCTGTATGGTTCTAGATTTCGGAAGGAAATACTATGTAAATTTATGTACTGAGTTCATTTTTAATTACAAGAAAATGTCAATTATGTAAAAGAGTTGGAGGTATTAAGCAAAAGATGGACCTGAAAAATAAATAAATTTTTTGGGGATACTTAATTATGTTGTACATTAAAGCAGCTAGAAAACTTACCCCTGACAGCCATCTCTACCTTCAATTCCATGATCACTTCCCCCAATTGGTTTGGTTTCTAGGGGTTTGATTTTGTTAGGAATGGAGGATGCCACTCATTGGGAAATCGAATTAGGGATTCAAAGGAGAGAAGTGATTGAGAGTGGAGAAGGGATGGGGAAGAAATTTTGTAAGCTTTTAAGAAAGCTATGGAGTGGTGGCAGAGGCATTGTGGCGAGGATTGGCGGTTTGGCAGAGGTGGTGCAAAAGTGGAGTGGCAGGGGTTGGGGGATTTGGAGATGTTGTGGTGGTTGTGGAGCTGGGGGTATGAAGATGAGGTTTTGTGGATTATGTGGTTGGATGGCTACCAAGTGTGGTGTAGGCGGTGGTTTGTGTGGTGCCTGTGATGGTCTAGTATGAATGTTGGTGGTAGAAGGTGTTGACGGGTGTTAAGGGTGCAGGGGTGAGGAAAGGTGGAAATGGTGGGAGATTGGTGGTGGTGGTGGGGTGCTTCTATTTACACTTTACTTTTTATCTCAAGTCACACCATTAATTAATTTATTTTTTATTATAATATTATGTAAGATGACCACAAAGTACAAAGGATTATGATACATATCTTATGTAAAATTACCATAAAGAACAATAATGAATAAAATACATACCTCTCTTCTCAAATGTTACTCACATATCTTCTCTCTCAAGAACTCAAAAATTCTGAAACAAAAATCAAAAACCCTTAAAGAAATAACCAAAAATATACGTATTATTGAAGATCTTGATTAGACTGAATAATAGATGCATCTTGTAATATTGGTTTTGAACAATGGAACAAGGAAAATGTTAGGTTTTTTTTTTTTTTTTTTTTTTTTTTTTTTTTTTTTTTTTTTTTCATTTTCGTGTACTTGTTGAGTGGTAAACCATTTGTATTCGTTCGGATACTTCGATTCAAACAATACTCATGTTCGACTATCTAAAACCGAACAAGTTCTAATTGTTTGATTTTCTAGTGTCGAACATAGTCCACATGTTCGGTTAATAAGTTCCGAACTTATGGCATTTGTTCAGTTTTTAACAGTCGAACTTTCAAATTTAGCTCGACTATGTATTTCCGAACATTTATAACAATTTTTTTTTTTGGTTTTTCCAGAACTGTGCATCCATGGAATGCAGTAATGTTAGATCTAGGTGTTTTCAACACGAATGGAGATCGGTTTAGACTGGTTTAAACTGGTTTTCAAACCTCTAGGATGACAATGAAACAGAGAATGGAGGGGGACGTTCACAACATGTGTGTTTTTCAAGTGGAGGTGTGTACTACAGGAAATATGGAAGATTGAAGATTGTTGGTGGGGTGTGTGAGTGAGCAAGGGTAAAGATGGAAGATCGTAAATGAGGTGTGTGAGTAAGGATAAAGATGGAAGATTATGGTGTGTATTGAACAAATTTTTTATTTATCAAATTATTAAAGATATGCCTTAAGATGAAAGGTGATGTGTAAATAGAGGCACCCGTGGTGGTGGTAGAAAATAGGAGACGAGAGCTTCTATTTACCCACCACAACTTAATTCATACCATTTCTCGGTTCATATCCTGACACTTTTTTTTTTTCTTTTTTTTCTTTTCTTCTTCCACAATTCACACCATATTTACTCAAATTACCCTAATCAAAATTAACCTAACCTTAACCTAGCTTCGGTGGTCTCCTTTCCCGTTATTGCTAGCTCCGGTGACCTATTTCCATCTACGCCCATCCCTCCATAGACCATCCCGACTGTCACCGTCCCTCCTTTAAAGATTAGCGTTTCCCTACTTCAACCCCATCATCACCGTAGGTCTAGAGACCGCCATCCCCAACCCTCGCGATTGTCACCCTAATCCTAACGATCGACTGAACTCGATCGATTGAAAAAGAGAAAGAAAGAGTAAACAAAAAGAAGAGGGAAAGTGTAATGGCACGAGGAAATGGCTGAGGGTTTGCATTGGTGTGATGGAAGGGGGGGTCGTTGGAAGGGGGCGCTGGAGAGTTGTTACAAAGGGGAGATGGCGCCGAAGGTAGGGGGCAACGAGGGAGATAGCAAGCCGCGTTTGCGATTTTTCTCTTTTTCAATCGTAATCTCCATCTCTTCGTTGCAAGCTGCGGTAGCGCTGCAATGGGGGAATGAGTGGCGGAAATGAGAGTGTTCACGGAAAAGATGACAGCGGTAGCAGTGGCGGTGGTAGTGGCCGTTTTTTTTGGGGAATAAAAGGGGTGATGGATGGAAGAAAGGAGCTGGGGAGGGAAAGTAGTTGGGGGAGGTGACGGGGAAGGGTGGAGAAAGTGTTTCGAGGGTTGACGATTGGTGTATGGCGTCGCCAGTGTTGATGCCGATGCCGACCTTGCAGGGTCAGCTCAGAGATTTAGGGGGACTAAAGTGAATTTCGGAAATGGGACTCCCCTTACATTGAAAAAAAAAAAAAAAAAAAGAGTTCATGGATAAAACAATAAGTTATAACTTTTTTATTTATTTGTAGACATAAAAAAATTTACTTGTACATATAATCATTAAAATTATAAACAAAACAATTTAATGAAACAAAATTAGGACAAAAAAATTATTCAGCTAAAATTGATAAAGACCTAGGTAAAAAAATTAAGGTAAAATTATTTATTCCACTAAAATTTAATTGATAAAGAAGGTAAAAATAAAAAATTAAGGCCCATATATTGTATGTATTATTCTTCTTGGGTCCAAACATTTTTTTTTTAATATATATTTTCATTTTAATAAATATGGGTCAAACTACATTTATAAATAAATATGAGTTATACCATATATGGACCCAATAAAATATTTTGAGACTCTTTAAATTGATCAAAAAAATAAATAAATATTGAATCCATAACATTTTACTAAGGCTAAGTTTGGCATGATTGAAAAAAGACAAAAAGTCAAAAAGTCACTATCCTATTTAAGTCACATCATCTTATTTAAGTCACATCACCTCTCTAACACATCACTTCAAACCCAACCCAAACCCAACTCATATTTTATAAAAAGTCAAAAAATACACTTATTTAGTCTTTCCAAATTAGGCCTAAATTTAAAAACTCTATTTTTGAACCAAAAATTTGGAACCTAAGAGATAGCCTTTCTGGGCTTAGGCCAAGGCCAGCCCTGCAACCCCGACTAGGATTTGCAAAATAGGAGATGATTTGAGTTGAGATGTTCTTGTCCTTTTTGGTAATTTTGTTGAGTGTCAAAATAGTAATTAAAAAAAATGAGGAAATAGTGTGTCTTGAAAAAAATACTAGTGGAAATAGAAATTTCCACGAGACCCGCATAGGGTTGGTGACAATGGACAGGGGAAGTCAACAGGGAGTGAAGGTTTTATGTTGGGTAGGGTTCAAGTGTTGTGATGGATGTGACAGGAGAATTGGATTTTGTTTCTTTTCTCTTTTTTTTATTATGAATTATCTTTGATAACAGTATTAGTAGTCGACATTTGAATCAAAGTGGTACAAGAAGAAGACCAAGCCTTGGAGATCAAAGTAAAAAGAACATTTTACATTTCGTTACCATTAACAGAAGTTTGTAAAATATATATATATATATATATATAAATGTATTTAAATGATTTCGTATAAGAACTCATGCACATCATATACAATAACAAATACAACCTAAATCTGTTTCTTTCAACTTTTTTATATTTTTATTATTTATATTACAGTCATCGAAGAAAAGTAAGGTTAAGTTTGGCATCTTTTAAAAAATTTAAAAAGTCAAAAAATTATCCTATTTAAGTCACATTATCTCATTTAAGTCACATCACCTCTCTAACACATCACTTTAAACTCAACTCAAATTCAACCCATATTTTATAAAAAATAAAAAAAGTACACTTATTTAATCTTTGACCGAAATTAGTATTACACAAAAAGTGAAAAGATTTAAGATGAAATACCAAAGACCAAGAGCACAGCATAAAAGAAAAGACCAATAAAAGCTGTAGTATAAATAAATTACTATTACATTTTTGTTTAATTTCCTGTGGTAGATATATATGTCTCAGTCCTTCCAAGCTTTTTAATTTTCGCCTCTCTCTCTCTCTCTCTCTCTATCTAAATCGTCGGCGATATTCACAGATCCGTAACTCCACCATCGCCACGACCTCAGTTGGCATGTTAATTCTCTGTTCTCGTCTGTTTTTAGGTCTTCAATTACGGTTGTTTATTGAGCTGGCTGAGTATTATTTATTATTTATGAATCTTTGACTCTTTTTGGTAATGAAAATCAGAGCTCGTGGTTGTTGTGATTTTGTTGGCTAATCACTCGTTAATTTATTTAGGCGTTTAATTTGGGCATGTGATTTCCTCTCCTCTGTTTGGACTCATGCGTTGTGTCACTCTGCTGTTGTTTTTTGGAATTTTGGGGGCGTAGTAGTAGTGCCGCTGATTAGGAGCTGTTTGGCTGAGTTCACTTTTTCGTCAATTGGGGTTACTGATTCTTTAAGGGTTGGGGTTTGTTATAGTCTTTGTGCTCTTTTTAGGGTTGCTGTTGGGTATTTGAATTGAATTTTGTTGACTAATGGAGGAGGCTCAATTTGGAGGAAAGGTTCATCATTTATGTGGTCCGGTGATGCCAGATTTGAAGGCAGCTGGGAAGAAGGGTGTGGAATGGGATTTAAATGATTGGAAATGGGACGGGGATCTGTTTACCGCTGCTCCTCCACTTAATTCTGTGCCGTCAGATTGCCGGAGTAGGCAGTTATTCTCTCTTGTGTCTGAAATTCCAATTAATCCTGGTTTGTCAAACACTTCCTTGGCTTGTTCGGATGAAACCAATTTGGGAAATGACAAGGGAAAGCGGGTATTGGAGAAACGCAGGAGGGTGGTTGTTGTTGAGGATGAAGAAGAGTGTAATGATGAAGCCAGGTCCCTTAATTTGAAGCTTGGTGGGCAAGTGTACCCTATCACACAAGCCGAGATGGAAAACTCTGAGGGAAGGTGTGGGAAGAAGAGCAAAGTGGTTGCAACTTCCTCTAACTGTTCAGTGTGTCAGGTGGATGATTGTCGAGTCGATTTGACTAATAGCAAAGATTATCACATAAGGCACAAGGTTTGCGACATGCATTCCAAGGCCGGTAGTGCATTGGTGGGAAATGTTATGCAACGCTTCTGTCAGCAGTGTAGCAGGTCAGTTCTTGTATGAAGATTTCTTTTAAAGGTTTCCTGTGATAGTCTATGCTTAATTGCAAAGAGAAAGAATTAGGAATATCTTTGGTTAGTCATGAAGGACAATCTTGGCCTTTCATTTAGTTGTTTCTCCTAACCAGATGAACCAAAATGAGGCTGAATCAAACTGTACAAAATTTATTTGTGCTTAAGTTCTGTATTTTATTTCAATATTCCTTGCAAGTTGTTTTTGTACAAGGCATATTTGTATTTTCGTGAAGATTTTCTCCAATATGTACATTTTGGTTATACATGTGGGCAGGTTTCATGTTCTTCAAGAGTTTGATGAAGGGAAGAGAAGTTGTCGTAGGCGTTTGGCAGGCCATAATAAACGTAGGAGAAAGAAACATCCGGAAAATGTGGTTAATGGAGTCTCCTTGAACGATGAGCATGGTAGTAGTTATTTGCTTGTTAGTCTGCTGAGGATACTTGCCAACATGCACAGTAAGTATTTGTCTAACTGAAAAATTATATATATTTTGCATCTTTACCTTAATGTGACAGGACTTGATTGTGCATATGATTTTTATTTATTTATTTATTTTTTCCTGGGAACAGTTTTATATAGATGTTTTGTGTTTTTTTGCATTCAATAATTGTATTTCAATTTTATTAACTGTTGCTTTTAAATTACTTTCTATTGATAACATTATCAGCATGAGACAGAGTTAATACCTAGTAATCTCTACAAGTGATTGTGGTAGATGAGATGATAAATTTTTAATCTTGTCTTCCCATAAAAGCTAACAATTTTCTTCGTAAGGCGCAAGTGATGATGATATCTACAGAATCTTAATTTTCTGGATGGGAAAGTGATTTCTGCAAACCATCTGCCTCAGTTGGATGAATAACAAGGTGTACCAGCCCATTCGAACCGGAATTTCGGGATACCAAGTCGGATAAATCCCGCTGTATGCCAGTGCAAAATCAAAATAGCTTTAGAACCAGCCAATTCGTGGTATGAACTGGCAAAAACCGGATTTACGAAATGATTATGTTCTGAACCCGTCCAGTTTGTTAAATTGGCAGTAATAAGAAATTTTACAAAATAACTAAAATAAGCCTCGATATGGCTTATCAGTGCTTTAGTGCAAGAGTAGTGGCCTATTTAAAACTGGTGGCACACTCTAGTCCTTTTGATTGGCTGATGTGGGATTAAATCATTTCTCTTAGAAGCATTGAAATGATGCTGTTATCTATAATTGACCTTGTGAGGCTCATGTTCCTTATCTGCTTGAATGCCATTTATAATAAGCAGAGCCCGCTTATTTCTCAATTCCTGTCCATACAGGAGAATGTGTCTTGCAGTGCGGACCACTGTTTCATAAATTGATTGATTGCATATCAAATGTCCAATATTTTTTTGTTGACATTATATTATTTATTTTATGTTTTTTACAAGAAAAAAAAGGACAAATTATGATTAAAATAATCCAAACACACATATTATTGAGTTTTAGAGAGTTTCTAATGATTTACAAAAATTCACGACTGCATCACTCGATTTCCGATACATATTGCTTGATACTATACCGCTTCATATCCTGATACCGCTATTTAGAATCTTGTACTGATGAAACAAAAGCAAGGTGCCTACTCCATTGTTCAGAATAATGTTAAAATTCTCTCTGTGAAAAGAAAAAGTTTGAGATGTTGAATTGAAGGACATAATCACAGATTTGACCTGGAGGTTGGCTGTTTGGTGGAAGTTTTGTTTTCACTATTTTTCATGATGGTACGTCTTTCATATTGCATTTGTGCTGCAGACTTTAAGTTAATTTGGTTCAAGGACTTCCTGTTGGTAAGTTCTTTTTAAAGTGCTGTTAAGTAAGTAGATATTAATTTCTTTTGATCTCATCATTAGAAATGTGGAAATACACAATAACAATGTTAATCTGTAAGGAAGTTGAAAGTGCCAGTTTGAGCTTCAGAAGGTTTCAAAAGTTAAATCCTGATTAAACTTTAGTGACTCCTGAAGTGTTGTTATATATGAATTATTGGAAATTTATTGGACTTCAATTACTGGAATGCATTAGAAATTGATGTATTGGACACTATTTGGGTTAATTTTAGTTCAGACATCGGAACTAACATCTTTTGATATCTGTATAGCAGTTTGCTTCTAGTTCAAGATGTTTATCAATAAATTGTGTAGAAACTAATTTGTTTGGTTTCCTGTTTTGGAATTTTTCTTCAAATCAAGGGTTCTCAGTGGTTTTGCCAATGTTAGAGATTTTTGAGATAACATAGTGTTGAAGTCTGCTGTATATTTGATGGAAATTATTATTTATTCTTACCATTCTTCAGACTGTTCCATGGAATTTGTACAATTCCTGTGTTTAAACATGAGTTTAAATTCTTAAACAATTAGAAAATGTTGTTTGTTGGGTATTTGGAAACGTGTTTGCAGTGCCGGAGCTTGGAAATTTGTTGACTGAATTGCGCTGTTTAGCATTTGCCTAATGAAAGAAATTGCTTCTGATACTAGGTAGTAGGTAGGCGCTCAAGTCTTGTTACTTAACAGGCTAGTCTGCAATGGCATTGTCACTTTGCTTGGTTACACTTTTCCAAAAACACTTTTCAGAAAATTCCACTTTCTTGTTTTCCGTGTTTTTTTTGTTTTTTGTTTTTATTGAATTTTTTTAATATTTTAAGCAAATTTTTTTTTTACTTTTTAGATATACCTAAAAAGTAAAAAAATTGTAAAAAAAACCTTTTAAAAATTCACTAAATACCAAAAATATAAAAAAAATATGAGAATTCAGTGCATTTTTTGTATTTTCATGTATTTATTAATTTTTTAAAATATGTTTTCACAATTTTTTTACTTTTTAGATACATCCAAGTAAGGTGCATCGAAAAAAGTAAAAAAAATGTTTAAAATTTTAAAAATATTCACTAAAAACAAAAAGACACAAAAACCAAAAAATTCAGTTTTCAAAAAACTTAATTCAAAAAATTCAAACCAAACACACTGATTAGATTTCAGGGTTTAACTCTTGCACTGTGCTTTGCAGGTAGTATTCCTTGTTAGCTGAGGATCAAATTACCTTTATTCCGTATGAATATAGTTTGACTGTAAATCTATGTTTGTAATTGTGAACTTATTGTACAGTCTAAGGTATTTATCAAGTTTTTTTATTTGTCAGTGCGAGGTGTTATGTGGTAGTTTGTGACTGCTACCGGTGAGCCATCGATTACTTATTTCTTGCCCCCTTGCCAAAAAAATATAAATAATAATAAACAAAAAAAACTGCTACAGTGTAAGTTCTTTATGCACCCATTTGGATCTGGCTTTTGAGGCATCCACATTGTATTTTTGAAAATTCAATCCAAGGAACAGTGAATTCCAAATTTTGAGAATATCGTCGATTCATCGAATTAATGATGCCATTTTCTTAGTCAATGGTTTTTAAATTTATTTCCTTTCATTGTGCTGCACTTACTTTAACTAATAAAGGCTGTCCTTTCATGGTAATGCAGCTAATAGCTTGGATCAAACGAAGGATCAGGATATGCTATCCCACCTATTGAGAAACCTTACTAGTATGTCTGGCTCAATTAATGGGAGGAACATATCTGGATTATTGCCTGGTTCTCAAGACTTGCAAAAGGCTACGATGTCTCTTGGAACTCCAGAAAAGGTTCCAGATCTGATTTCAAACGGTCCTAAATGCAGCTCAATGCTTGGTTCTATTTCTAAGATGGATGTTTGCATTGATATTCAGGATTCTCTGAGGCCTAATGGACAATGTATGGCATTTGAAGGGACAGAGAAGAGAACTTTCACAGACAATACACAGGGTGGACTGTTTCAAACTCCGTGTGCAATTCCATATCCTGCAAGAGACTGCATTCCTACCAAAGCAAGTGCCCCAGACAATGGAGTGGGAAGGATGAAATTGAAAGACATAGACTTGAATACTGTTTACGATGGTTCTGAGGATTGTTCAGAAAACCTGGAGAGTTATCATGCTCCTGTAAATCTGGGGATTGGGTCTCTTGATTGCACTCTACGGGGACATCATGGTGGTCAAGAGTCAAGCCCTCCTCAGACAAGTGGGAATACAGGCTCCACATCCACCCAGTCACTATCTAGTTCGAGCAGGGAGGCTCAGGTATATTTTTGTCTCAAGTGCATGGTTCCTAATTGAAATTTGAAATTAAACTGTGAAATTATACCTAGCATGGATTGATGAATATAACCATCCATATATCATGAATGTTGCTCCATCATCAATTAAATGTTTCATATTTAAACTTTTGCAGTTGTATGGCCATGGTGTTGTCTTGGTGAGATCTGATATTTGATAAAAATTGTTGATTTTGTTGGCGTTAGAGGTGTTATTTGTTTTTATGTGAGATGTCATGTTAATATATTGTGGAAGGTCTGGATGTTGTCACCCATGCGCTTGATGCGTTGCATTTGGGGCCAAAAGAACCACATGACTCTGAAGGATGTAGAGATGGCTATTCGTAGGTTAAAATTATTGTTAATTTGTCGTTTCATTTCTGGTTCAAAGAGAAGTTCTTTGAGTCATCCTTTTCTTTGATTGATTTAATATGAGAGCTCAGTTTTGCCAAGGGGTTTTTAGTTTGAGTTTCTGTGGAGTGATTTCTAGTGTACTAGGATGGTGGCCTCTTGGTGTCTTTGGTTAATACTTGGCTTAATTTATTTATCCAGAAGAAGAAGAAAAAAAAAAAAACAATTTATTTTAACTTCTGTTGAAAAAAAAAAAAAAACTGTTTAATTCTTTATATTTTTGAAGTCTATAGTAATGATTTTCTATTCAAATTAGGGGGAAGTAAGTACTGCAAAAGGGGCAAGTGTAACACTAAGTTAGATTTTGTGTTACTTGGTATTTTCTATTATGTGGAGCATAAAATTCTATTACTGAATTTGAATAATAATATAATTTGTTATCCATAATCCTCATGGATTTGAGAAGCTTTCAGCCATTCCTTCTGTCTCTCATGTTTTCGGTAGAGTCGGCCAGGTTTCGTCGGAGATTGATTTTTTTGGGTGATCAGTCTTTTGAGTTTGAGGAGGGGTTGGCAGATGCAATAGGCCTACGTTGAGTAGATATTGTCGAACGTGGTCAAGGGGTTCGGCAAGCAATTGAGTTGTTCGGTGCAAAGATCAAATGGGTAGCGGATCAAATGAGGAAGGCATCCAAGATGAACACCGTTGGGGTGTTTTTGGGTCGTGTCTTTGGAGGGCGGCGCAGTGTGGCGTGTTGGCTTTGTCCGGAGGAGGTGGGAGCAGCTGTTCAGATTGTGGTTCATATGGGTGATCGTTGTACTCAGATGTTCCTCCCACAATCATTGTTTGGGGATGGCTGGGAGGGCGCATCTATGGTTTTGGATGGATTTATGGTGGGGAATGGATGGGTCATACAAGGTCAGGATTTAAGAGGGGGAAGACATAATTCCTAGTCGATTGGGAACGCAGTGGTCGTCCCTGGGGTTGGGGGGGAGGATGTGGTGGTGAGACAAGGGTCTGGTGCCGAATGGGTGTCCTTTTTGGATTCGTGTCTGGTGGGGAGAGTGGGAGAATTGGGGGGGAGGGGGGGGGGAAAGGGATGGAGCTATCTGCCCTCTCGGCGTGGGTTAACTGATTGTGGAAGGTTAGCGGTGGCGTGTACGTGAAGGTCATCGGAAGACAGTACATCTTGTTTGCTTTTCCATCTAAGTCAGAAGCCATCAGAATTCTGGGAGGTAAATGGGTGGTCGACGGTCGATGTTTGAGTCTTGATTGGTGGTTGCCGGAGGCGTTATGTGCCAAGGGAAGTCATTAATTGCTGAGTCAGAGTTTTTAGGTGCAGGTGTTTGTACTTCTGCTACATCTTCGTGGCGAGTAGGTCTATCGCGCGATTGGTGATCGTTGTGGGGGGTTCCTGGAGGTTGATGCAGCAACAGCGATGGAGGGACCTCTAGGATGTGTTCGACTCAAAGTTTGTGGTACAACTAAGGGTGCTCCGGCGCAAATCACCATTCGTTGGGGTGATTGGAGATACTAACTGCCTATTTGGTCGGAGGACAGACTGGTGGTGGAGACTTACGGCTTGCCGGAGCAGCATGATTGCCGTGAGCAGCATGATTGTCATGAGTTGGTTACGGAACGCCGGGATTTGGTGCTATCTGTTCTGCGTGATGGTCGTCATGATTTGGGGAAGAAAAAGATGCAGTCGCAGATTTCACAGCGTTGGGTCGGACCTAAGAAGGCCTGGCGACCAAAAAAATCTGGGCAATAGGCCCCATACTCAAAGGCCCAAGTTTGTGTCGCGCCTCAACCTCCGTGACAACGCCGCACACTCATTTAAGTGAGCATGTAAGGCTAAGAGTCCAACACATAACCAACAATGTAAAATACTTCAATTAAATCCTTAATTGTCATAATGCTAAAATTCATAAAAATTGATTATTCTTATCACATGAAATTATCCACCAAGTCCTCTAATAAAATCCATTAACAAAACAATAATCCAAGTACTTAAATCATAGTCCTACTCTCGGCACTCCCACAAGTAAAAATAATCTCGCGCAACTCTACTGTTCAGAATTTGAAAAAAAAAATAAAGGTAAGCTAGATAGCCCAGTAAATAACCAACCATTACTGCTAGCTGGATCAAGTATACAATAATAAATAAATAAATCGATAACCAATAAATATAATTTTTTTCTACAGTTCAATAAATGAACAATTATTTGTAAGATGGTTTCATAGCTAAAAATAAACAATGTACAATACATTTTAAATGAAAAGCCAACAAGATAATTCAAAGTAATTCGTTGTTCAAATCGATGGTTCGATATTCAGATGGTTCAATGATTTGATTCACAAAACCCAAGTCTTATTGACTACGGTCACATAGCCCGTGACAAGGCCCAGAACCACACATAGGCCGGTGGTAAAGCCCCAAAAGAAACTAGTTTCTGTGCCAATAAATAACCCCCATTGGCTAGGGTCCAAATCATAGTCAGACTAGAGTGATGTTCAAAATTCAAACAATACACAACTTCTAAATAAAACATTCGATATTTTCAGAATAAACGTTTAGTATAATTTTCAGAATAGTTTCACCAAATATTCGAATAATTTTCGTAATAATATTCGATGTTGTTTTATACTTGACCTATATTTTATTTTAAGAGAACATGAAGGTTATAAATAAATATTTATGATTTTAAACGATTCGATAGGAATAAAAATGAATCAACAGTGATAGAGGGTTACTTACCTCAAACAGCTAAAATAATATTTCCCAAGCTAATCTCAAATTACCAAGATCCACCTCAATCTCACAAACCTAATAAAATATTACACCGCATAAACAATTATTATGTGCACCCATCCATCTCTTCTTGTAACAACAATAGAATAAATTAACTCAATAGTCTATTAGGAACTCCCACGATTTAGCATCAAAACAAAGCCATCACAGCTTCAGAAATTCTCAACCCATATTATTCTCTTGTTGTTTATATACATGTAAAAATTTGTAATTGCTTGTAGTCAATCGTATATTCCACAAATACACCATCATTAAACTTAACCCATCACATATCAATCTCAAAATATGAACCACCCAAATGGGATGCAAAATACACTCTAAAATTGAGTAAAATTGAGACCCCCAACATAGACTACATCAATATATCTATTTAATCATATATGCCCATAAAATCATCTATTGATATATTAACACTAAAATCATAGATAGGAATACAATAAAATAAATCTTACCTAAGTGATGAATAAAGCAAAACCACCACTCTTATGAATCCTTCCTCTTCCTTGGTTTGAGTTTCTTTTCTTTAATTTTAAACTTTTCCAAACCCTTGCTTGCTGCCTGCACCTTTAACTCTTCCAAACCCTTTCTGCAGCACAAGCCTCTCTTCTCTTTTTCTTTTCTTTTTTCTTTTACCTTCTCAAACCCTAGCCGCCTATGGAGCAATTCATAGCCTCTGTTTTGTTTGTTTTCCAAGACTTAAAGCCACAATAGGTGGGCTTATTAACCTAATTTCTTAAAGTTACAAAATTACCCATCTAAGTAATAGGAAATATAATGCCATCTCATAACTAATTCTTTGATATTAATAAATGACTCATATAAGTTAATTTAATTACTAATCTATCCAATAAAATAATCCTACACACAACTTGGGTTTTACAGTTTGGGCTTGCCTTGAGTTGGGCCGGGGTAGGGGAAAATTTAACAAAATTAGTGGTCCATCTTTTCAAGGGCCCAAGGCTGGGGATATCAACCCGTTGCAAGGTAATACTGGGGTGGGCCAATCTGAGGATAGGGTCTAGGGATTAGGGTTGAAGGAGTTGGCCCATTTTGTGAAAGGAGTTGTAGGCCATTCTGGGTTCACTACCCTAGTGGCCCAGGTCTTTGATAATTTGCGTCGTGATTTGGATCCAAGTTAGACGGGTTGGTCTTCGACTTCAGGACCTTTAGGGAATGGGAAGAATGTTACATTGTTGATGTCTGTCACTGATCGCGACGAGGATTTGGGTGGATTGCGAGATGTATTGGAGGACGATAAAGTGTCCAGCTAGTTTTTTGATATAGATGAGGATTTGGGGCAGCACTGGGTAACTGACGATGCAGTGAATGCTGCGACAGATTGGGTTGGGAGGAACGAATCTGATCCTGGGCATTTAGGGAGGGAGTGGTCTCTTGTGGTCCATCCTCTTGCCATTTCGATTGCTGCCATCCATGGTGAGGCCTCTTCCGAGCAGCCCCAAGGTAAGGTTGAGTGTCAGGTTGATTTGAATAGGATGGAGGCTCCCTCGGCAAACACTGTTTCGAAGTGGGTGCTTAGTAGGATTAGCGAGGTTAGTCGTTTGCTGGGTGTATCTTTTGAAGGCCATGAGATTAAGGCTATGAGTTTATTCAGAGCAGTGGAAACCTTATGGAGGCAAGGGGCTCCATCACAGGAGGGTGGTTTTTCAGGAGTGGTGCAACGTAAAGGGTTACGGGAGCTCAGAAATTTGGAGTGTTCTGTTAACTATGACTATGGAGGGGAGATGAGTGGGTGGGGCCCTAGGAGAGAGCGAGGAGGTCCTTTGTTATTGAAATGAAGTTAAAAGTGTTATCGTGGAATGTGCGTGGCTTGCATGAGAAGGATAAACACCTAGTAATTAAGTCCCTGCTTTGTAGCGTGAGAACGGATGTGGTATGTTTGCAGGAAACAAAAATGGAGGTGTTGGGTGGAGATGTGGTGAGAGAGATCTGGGGTGGTCGGTTTGTGGAGTGGACATATGTTAGGATAATAGAGTGGTGGTGAAAGAGGATAAGGAGGTAGGAGGTATTTCGGTGTCTTGTCTTTTTCGATGTGTGGCAGATAATTTCAGGTGGGCATTTTCTGGAGTGTATGGGCCGGTGCGAAATTTAGAGAGGGGTTCTTTTTTGGGAGAGTTGGGGGATGTTGCGCATCGATGGTCTGAGCCGTGGTGTATGGGGGGTGATTTGAATATGGTTTGATGGTCGGTTAAGAAGATGGGGAATACTAGGGCGAATGGGTCCATGCGGGCGTTCTCTGCATTTATTGATGAGTTGAATTTGGTTGATTTGCTTCTTCAGGGGGGCAGTTTCACTTGGTCTAATGGCCACCAGATGTCCCGAATTGATAGATTTCTAGTCACTAGTGGTTGGGAGGAGCACTTTTCGGGGGTCGTTCAAAGTCGCTTACCACGTCCAGTCTCAGATCATTGGCCTATTTTGCTTGACAGTGGAGAGGTTCGTAGTGGGTCGACGCCTTTTCGGTTCGAGAATATGTGGTTGCATTCGGAGGGCTTTTTAGAGAGGGTCCGTCGATGGTGGAGTACGTATACGGTTAGTGGCACTCCTAGTTGCATGTTGGCTCAGAAACTAAAACTTTTCAAAACAGATTTGAAACTGTGGAATAAGGAGACTTTTGGTCGGGCGGAAGTTCTGAAAGCGGAAGTGGTGGACATTCTGCAGTCCTTAGATGCGCAAGAAGTTTTTGGTGGGCTTCTAGGGGTGGATGTGGCTAGAAGGGAGGCGGCCAGACAAGATTATGTTCGTTTGGCTCATATGGAAGAGATTTGTTTCCAACAGAAATCTCGTTGTTTATGGTTGAAAGATGGGTACCGGAATACCAAGTTTTTCCACAAGATGGCAAATGCTTATAGAAGGGTTAATCAGATTGTGCGTCTGCGGGTAGATGGGAGAGATTTGTCTACAAATGACACGATTCGGGAAGGTATTGTGGGTTTTTATTAGCAGCTTCTCCGGGAACAAGATGGGGCATGGAGGCCGAGGCTGGATGGGATGCTATTTGATACGCTTCTTGAAGGGGATAGGGAGGGTTTGGAGCGGGCCTTCACGGAGGAGGAAGTGTGTGGGGCTTTGAAGACGATGAGTGGTGACAAGGCTCCGGGTCAGATGGTTTCACTTTGGCTTTCTTCCAGCATTGTTGGGGGGTGGTTAAGGAGGATGTGATGGCAGTGTTTGAGTCCTTTTTCACCCTAGGGAAGTTCGAGAGGAGCTTTAATTCGACCTTCCTAGCTTTGATTCCGAAGAAAGGAGGGGCTGAAGATCTGAGGGATTTTAGGCCTATTAGTTTGTTGGGGAGTGTATATAAGTTGGTGGCAAAAGTGTTGGCAAACAGACTTCGGGGTGTGTTGCAGAGCGTGGTGTCTGAATCCCAGAATGCTTTTGTAAGGAGGCGACAGATTTTGGATACGGTTTTGGTTGCTAATGAGTGTATTGATTCTCGACTTCGAGAAGGGCGACCTGGTCTGGTCTATAAGTTGGACATTGAGAAGGCTTATGATAATGTTAAATAGGATTTCCTATTTTATCTTATGTGTCGGATGGGTTTGGGGGCCACATGGTGTCGGTGGATAAAGTTTTGTGTATCCACGGTGCGGATGTTGTTTTTGGTGAATGGCTCACCGGCTGGTTTCTTTCTGATTTTTCGGGGTCTTCGGCAGGGGGATCCTTTATCTCCCTTGTTGTTTATCCTAGTTATGGAGGCTTTGAGTCGTTTGTTGTCTAAGGCTGTGCTTGAAGGTTTGGTGGAGGGTTTTAGTGTGGGGTCTCCGACTGGGACAATGATTGTGGTGTCTCATTTGCTGTATGCTGATGATGCTTTGGTTTTTTGTGATGCGGATGTGGAGCAAGTGGGGTTCCTTCGTTGTGTTCTACTTTGTTTTGAGGTAATTTTGGGCTTGCGGATTAATTTAAGCAAGTCGGAGTTGATCCCGGTGGGGGAAGTTGAGCGTTTGCCCATGGTAGCAGCGGTTTTAGACTGTAAGGTAGCAATTTTACCAGTGACTTACTTGGGATTGCCGTTGGGTGCTACCTTCAAGGCGATAGGGGTTTGGGATAGAGTGGTGGAACGGGTTCAACGTTGTTTGGCCAGATGGAAGCCAGATGGAAATGGCAATACTTATCGAAAGGGGGAAGGTTGACATTGATTAAGAGTGTGTTGAGCAGTATTCCGACCTACTTTATGTCTTTGCATGTTATTCCTGCATCTGTGGCTGCGCGTCTACAGAAACTTCAGAGGGACTTTCTGTGGGGAGGTGGGGGAGAAGATTTTAGATATCACTTGGTTGATTGGGGGGCGGATTTGCCAACCCAAGGAGGTGGGCGGTTTGGGGGTGCGTAGTTTAGTGTAATTTAATCAAGCGTTGTTAGGGAAGTGGTTGTGGCGGTTTGCTGGAGAGTGGGATCGTTTATGGCGTTGGGTGGTGGCTTCTAAGTTTGGGGTGGTTGTGGGGGATTGGAGGTTGGAGGAGGTGATGGGGTCTCATGGGAGGGGCTTGTGGAAAGGTATTTGCTTGGGGAAAGGGGAGTTTTGGGAGAGGGTGCATTTTTCTATGGGGACTACGGAGACGGTTCGATTCTGGAAGGATAGGTGGTGTGGGGAAATGGTGTTAGAGGTGCGCTTCCCTTTGATCTTTGGCATTGCAAAGGACCGCGAGGCAATGATTGAGTCTTATTTGGGGGGTGGAGCGGTGGTGGTTTGGGATATTCAGCTTCGGCGTGAAGTTCAGGATTGGGAAACGGATCAGTTGGGGGAGTTGTTCAGTTTCCTATATGGGTTGGGTCTATTGGGTAAGGGGAAATATGTGTTGGTTTGGAGTGTGGTGGGAACTAAAGGTCTGTTCTGTTCTTTGTTTGGTCCGTTTATCGAAGTTTGGTGGGGGTAGTGGGTGGTGCATTTCCCTGGAGGAGTATTTCGGTGCCTCGTGTGCCTTCTAAGGTGGTTTTCTTTTTATGGACGGCTGCTTTAGGTCGTAATCTTACCATTGATAATCTGGTTTGTTGAGGGCGTGTGTTAGTCAATCGTTGTTGCATGTGTTGTGTTGCTGCAGAGTCAGTTGACCATTTATTCCTCCATTGTTCTATTACCTCCCAACTTTGGGGGTTGGCTTGTTCTCTTTTTGGGATTTCGTGGGTGCAGCCAAAGGAGATGGTGGATATGTTGTGGAGTTGGAGGGGAGCTCGGGTTGACCGGAGTCAGCGACGGGTGTGGGCCTTGGTGCCTTTTTGTTTGATGTGGTTGGTTTGGCTGGAAAGAAACAGGAGAATTTTCCAGGACAGCCAGCATTCGGTGGCTTGGTTGGAGGGTTGGTTCTTAGTTACCTTGTATAGTTGGTTGGAGTGTAAAGTTGAGCTGGATCTTTTTTTCTTTCTTAGATTTTTTGAATGATGTAATTGGTTAGGCGTGCTTTCTTTCTTTCTCTTTGTCTTGCATCAGCTTGATGCTTTTTCAATAAAACTCATTATTTATCATTAAAAATATATATATATATATATATATATTTCTATTCAATCCTAATGTTTTTACATTTTCAGTTGATGGTTTGTGCTACTAAAAAACTCTTGCCAACTTTTGAATATAGTAATACTCAAAAGGGGTGGAACATACTCCTCTATCAGACAAATTAGGATTATTTAAATTGTTTTTGGCCTTGAGGATTTATTTTCTTATCTCTGTTATTTTTGTTGATTAATTTTCAGAGTCGCACAGATCGAATTGTTTTCAAACTCTTTGGAAAAGATCCAAGTGATTTCCCTCTTGTCCTGCGGAAACAGGTATCTCTGTCCTGTGAAGTTACTTGAATATAGTTGTTTAATGTTACTTTAACAAATTTTTATTTTGTTAATTGTTTCAAATTTTCAGATACTTGACTGGTTATCTCACAGTCCTACTGAAATTGAAAGCTACATAAGACCTGGCTGTATCATATTAACTATCTATCTTCGATTAGGGAAATCCACATGGGAGGAGGTAAGCCTATCTGTCATTACTATGAATGAATACTGCTAATCCTCATCCCTGGAAAATCCCTTCTAATGCTTTAAGTTACTGTTGCTGTGTACAGCTTTACTGTGATCTGAACTCCAGTTTGACTAGGCTTCTTGATGCATCAAACGATTCTTTCTGGAGAACAGGGTGGATGTATACTAGGGTGCAGCAACGCGTAGCATTTATATATGATGGTTTGTTCTTTGCTTTTCTATGGTTTATTTCTTTTCTGCTGTTTCTTTTTTCTATCACGTCCCTGAGGAAGGGGATGGGCAATAACATTTCTAATAGGAGGATAATTTGTTTGTCTTATTTGTGCCACAGGCCAGGTTGTTTTGGACACACTGTTACCTCTTAAAAGCCATAAAAATTCCAGGATCTTGAGCATCAAACCAGTTGCAGTTTCTTTCTCTGAGAGAACTCAGTTCTTAGTTAAAGGCTTCAACCTGTCCCAGTCTACTACGAGGTACCCTTCATTAATGTTACATGAGCATCAACACTGAGGCAACATTCTGAATTTCAGGTTTTATTTCAATATTCCTGCAATTTTTTAGGTCATTGCACATTTACAAAGTTATTTCTACTTTCTGTTTCAGGTTACTCTGTGCACTAGAAGGGAAGTATCTGGTGCAGGAAAGTTGTTCCGACATGATGGAGGGAGTTGATACATTTGTTGATGGTAATGAGATCCAGTGCCTTAGCTTTTCTTGCTCTATACCAAATGTCTCTGGAAGAGGATTCATTGAGGTAAGGTCATCCCAGCTAACATTGGTTTGTTGTTCTCTTCCACCATTGGGCTTTTGAATTCGCTTGGCACTTGCTAGGGGCTTTTCCCGTGTGTGTGTGTGTGAAGGAAAAGTGTCGTCTTAAATCATCTAATTTTTTTTTTTTTAGTATGCCTACATTGATGTGATTAGGGATATTGTATGGAGGTGCGGTGACCACTATTAGATCACTTGCTAGAGAGATGAGTGAATTTCCAATTACTGTAGGGTTACATCAAGGATCAACTTTGAGTCCTAATATTTTCGCTTTAGTTTTGGATGAGTTGACGTGCAATATTCAGGATGATGTGCCATAGTGTATGCTACAGATAATATCATGTTAGTGGATGAGACTAGAGAAGGAGTTAATACTAAGTTGGAGATTTGGAGAAAAACATTTGAATCTAAAGGATTGAGTATAAGCAGAACTAAGATAGACTATATGGATTGTAATTTTAGTAACAGTCACAATAAAAGCAGAGGAGAAGTAAGATTGAGAACCAAGAACTACCTAAGTGTGAATATTTTCATTATTTAGGATCAATTATCACAACGACTGGGGAGATTGGAGCGGATGTGGTCCACAAATTTAAGATAGAGTGGCTTAAGTAGAGGAGTGCGTTTGGAATACTGTGTGATAAATGAGTACCCATTAGACTAAAAAGGAAGTTCTATAGGGTAGCTATTAGACCAGCGATGTTGTATGGGACGGAACGTTGAGCAACTAAGAAACAACATGTAGATAAAATGAGTGTTACTGAGATGAGGATGCTTAGGTGGATGCGCGGCAAAATTAGAAAAAACAGAGTTAGGAATGAGTATATTCGAGAATGGGTAGGAGTAGTATCGATAGAAGATAAGTTGAGAGAGAATAGATTGAGATGGTTTGGTCATATACAATGAAGATTAATAGAGGCAGTAGTGAAGAGATACGATATAATGACGGTAGATGGTAGTGTTAGGGGGAGGGGTAGACCTAGATTGACGTGGACTAGTGTAGTAGATAGAGATATGAATTTCTTAATTTGACTAACGAGGAGACTTAAGGCTTGGTTTGGTTTGGTTATGCCTTCATTCAGGAAAAATAAAACATATGTATATGTTATCTGTCTCTCAATTTTTCTTATTATATAAATCATGAACTCTTTATTTGTTCCATTCAGGTTGAGGACCACAGTTTCAGCAACAGCTTCTTTCCATTTATAGTCACAGAGCAGGATGTTTGCTCTGAGATCTGTACTCTTGAGAGTGCAATAGAGGTGGCTGAGATCGCTGATGACATTCATGCAGAATCTGAAATGGTAGAAGCCAGGAATAATGCACTTGACTTTATACATGAAATGGGTTGGCTTCTTCACAGAAGTCAATTGAAGTTTAGATTGGGTAGCATGGACCCCAATTTGGATCTGTTTCCTTTCGAACGGTTCAGGTGGCTAATGGAGTTCTCCATGGAGCATGACTGGTGTGCTGTAGTGAAGAAACTTCTGGGCATTGTGTTTAATGGTACTGTGGATGCAGGAGGGCATTCTTCCATTGAACTTGCATTGCTGGACATGGGCCTCCTTCACAGAGCTGTGCGGAGAAATTGCAGATCTATGGTGGAAGTTCTTTTGAGATACATCCCAACTGATGTTGTGGATAAACCGGTCTCCGAACAGCAGCAGCATGTTAACAGGGGCTCCAACTTCTTATTTAGACCAGATGCCATCGGCCCTGGGGGTTTGACTCCTCTTCACATAGCAGCCAGTAGTGATGGCTCTGAGAGTGTGTTGGATGCTTTAACTGATGATCCTGGATCGGTATTGCCTCCTTGCCTAGCATATATTATGATTGTTTGCTTGCGTCATGAGGTTTTAGAATTCACAATTGAGACTGACCACCTGACACACATTTGAGACTTCTTTTGCTTTCTGCTTGGCCCTCTGCATTTTTGCCAACCAATAATTTTGTCCCTTAATGGGTTGTAGCTCTGAACATTGTTTTAGTTAAATGGCTCAGAAGAATGAATTCGTTAAAAAACAGGAGATATTTTACTGCTCAATCAGGATGATATTTAAAATTGAAATTTTATATCTTCTTGTCTCATGTTACATTTCATGTCTTCTCCGAAGAAGAAAATCTTCTCTGTGCTGACTTAGACTGCAACATTTCAGGTGGGAATTGAAGCCTGGAAGGGTGCCCGTGACAGCACAGGATTGACGCCCAACGATTACGCCTGCCTGCGAAGCTACTATTCCTATATTCATCTGGTTCAGAAGAAAATCAACAAGAAATCAGGAAATGGGCATGTAGTGCTTGATATCCCTGGTGCACTCTTAGAATACAACATTACTCAAAAGCTGACGGATGGGTATAAGACGGCAAAGGTTGCTAGCTTGGATACCGAGAAGAATGAATTGAAGCCAATTCAGCGACATTGCAAGGCATGTCAACAGAAGATGGCATATGGAAGCTGCAGAACATCGGTGGCTATCTACAGGCCAGCAATGCTTTCACTGTTGGCCATTGCTGCTGTCTGTGTATGTGCGGCTCTGCTTTTCAAAAGCCCGCCTAAAGTTGTTTGTGTTTTGCAGCCCTTCATATGGGAACGTTTGAAGTACGGAGCAATCTAAGGAATAATTACATTGACTGCAATTTATTTATTTTAAAATCATATTCATGAGATAAAATGTATTAAGTACTGGTGATCTTCGTGGCTCCAGATTTCAGTAGGAAACACTATGTAAATTTATTTACTGGAGTTCATTTTAAATTACAAGAAAAATATTATCAATTACATAAAATAGTTGGAAGTGTTTACCCCATGTACCTATCTCATGGTTGTGCACTTATTCTGTCCCTTGGTTTGAAGCATCGTTCGCATGGACAAATCCTCCATTTATCTCCCTTCTACACGTGGATGATAGCATTGTTACATTACTGTTACTGGTAATGATACTTGTGGCATTTCAGCTTTTCTTGACCAACTCAAGTCTGCTTTTGACCTTGAGGATTTGGGACTGCTGCATTATTTTCTGGGGTTAAAAAGTTTATACTGTTTCCTTCTGGTATTTTTTTTTATCAGTCAGGCCAAGTATGACACATGTTCTACACAAACACAACATGATGGCCTCCAAGCCTTGGAAAAGCCTTTTGTACTACTCCCTCTTCTTGACTAAGCAAACTCGATGGTTACGCCTCTCTTTGATCCTACTGCATATCTTTATTGCATCTCACTGCATTGAAGGGGCCTTGCAGTATCTCCCTCATACAAGGCCCGACATTTTCTTTGTTACAAAAAGTGTTTGTCAATATATGCATTTAGTCCCATTGATGTTTATTTCGTGGCTGTCAAAGCGCATTCTAAGATGTCTCAAGGGGACTATCACCCATAGCATCCTTTACAAGCCTGGTTCTTTTCTGGTTCTCTGATGTTGATTGGGCTTAAGATCCGAATGATTGATGCTCCCCCTTTAGTTTTGTATTTTCCTCTGACCCAATCCTATTACATGGAGTGCAAAGAAACAGTCTATTTATTTCTCGCTCTTCGATTGAGGCAGAGGATACCGCGGTGTTTCATGCGACTGATACGGAAAGCACGTTAAGGTGGATTTATTTTTTTTTGGTTTGGAAATAAGTGGTTTAGAAGGATTCTGAAAAGTGAAATTTATCTCCAGTGAGGATCAAGCGACTTTATATATCTTCATTATAAAAGCCACACTACTCAACTTGTTTTCATGGATTAGCAGTCAATTTATGCGAGTAATTTGTGGAGTGTCATCAATTTGAGGAGAATACAATTCTCTATCAATTGCCGTATTTATCTTGATAACCAACTTGTATAACAATTTGTATTAGTTAATTAGCTAATTAGCCAGGTCGCTTAGTTAAATTTTCAATTATATATATAGGATTAAATGTATAATAATTTACACTTGGATAGTAAATTGTTTGTAGTATCGCGTAGTAAATTATTTCCTCCATTCTATGCTTGTTGCAACGACTTGGGAGACCATTAATTCCATTCCATCATCAATTTTTATCTTTGAGATTTCATGTATTTATAATTTATTTTTTCATTTATATATAACTTACCTCCAATTGTAAATATACTTACCCTGTCCCCACATAATTGCTATTTTTTCCTTTTATTTATTTTTTTGAATAGTCGAAGTGTAACTTGCGTTGCATACATACACTAGTGAGAGAGTACACGCACACAGCTGCAGGCGGAGGCGGCGATGGCGTGGTTTTTATTATATCTCCACCTTGTATCCTGTATGTATGTCAAGTGTCTATTAGTATTCACACACTCATTCATTCATGTGCAACACACAAACATATATGTATGTATTTGTTTCTTCAAGTAAAATGGCATTGGCCCTTCATGCCATTTTCCTTTCAAAATTTGTCTGATGCTGTGAAATTGCTATTGTATGTAATTGGTAATAGACACTCAAATTCATTTATCAATTATATGTCGTGTCGTGTGATGTTAAAGCCACAATTTTGTTTTGCCCAATGAATCTCCTCAATGTAACACCATTAATAACCTCCCTCTGCCAATCATTCTGCCCTGGAAATACTGTTCAATGATATTCCATTCTCAAATGAAATGCTTACACCAATTCCAAAATGAAGAAAGAAGATGAAGAATACATGAAATGCTTATGATTACGCTTTTTGTTTTGTTATCATCACATGATCACAGATATATAATCGATGAGGTCTCAAAAATTTGGGGATCATTTCCATCACCCAACAAGACAGATGAGAAACAAGCTTAGAATGTAGCCAATATAATTGATGCATTTGAGTTGATGCAAAGATAATTTAATACATAATGTTTTTGGCAGAGCATCAAGATATTACTTGGTTATCATTGTGTAAATCATTCTACTTACAGTTACAGAGCTTGTGAAGAAAAAGGACAACTGTATTTCTCTTATTACCTCCTTTGGAAATTCAATCTCGATATGCAATATGCAAATAGTGATGCAAAAACAACCGGGAATGCAAGGAGAACAACTGCCACAAGGCCTAATCGATCATATTGAAAACCATAAAATTCTTTTAGGAAGGAACTAACAGTCTTGAGCTCCCCAAATATCACTATCTTTTTGTCCAAGTCTCCATATTGTGAAGTTAGGAGGCCATTCAGGGACCAAGATGTAGGACAAATCCAATACAACCAAATCCACCACTTAGGAATTTTCTGCATATAAAAACAACAAAGTCTTTAACATGTGTGCAGGTTTACTTTGAATGACAAGTTACAATGTAAAGTATATATCAGTAGGTGGGATGAGTTTTAAGAGAGTAACGAAAGTTGAATTTTCTGTTTAATTTGCAGAAATAGTTAGTTTGGAAATTTAGAAAGAGTCCTTGCTTCCATGGCTTCTTTGTGTAAGCTATTAAGCTCTAGTTGGTTCTGGCTTGGATGGAATTATTCAGCAAAGGTTGAAGTTTCTTGTGAACAAGAGTTAATAATCTGGGTCTGATGCATGAATTGGCCCTTATGCTTTTACATTTTTGCAGGAAAGTTCTACCTTATCGATACTCAATTGCAAATGAAACTACACATTCTAGAAATGACTCGCTTTTTATTTTTTTCCCCCTTTTTTCTCAGTGTTCTCATCCACCTGAGTAGAACCTTAATAACAATGCAAGGAGAAAAGAAACAAGAATCTAAGAAGCATCGACACTCCAAGATGGGTGACGCGTGTCCACATGTCTAACACGTCAAGTGGAGTGTCAATTTTTTATTTTTTGTTTTTTGTTTTATTGTAGGACACATTGGGACAATTTATGGACATGTGTGTCCTGTGTTTGGACACACCTCATGAAACCTTCGTAGGTTTTTTTTTTAAAAAAAAGAAGAAAGTAAAATTAGAAAGCTAATTTGAAGTAAAATATTGGGAAATAAAGAGGGAATAAGTTTAAAAAATAAAAATGTGCTTACATGTACATCGATGCCTCTCATATCTATCTATCCTAAATTTATATTCATATACATAGTAAATAAAATTATATATATAAAAATTTGTCGTATACCTCCGTGTCGGTATCTTAATTTTTTGAGTGTCCATGCCCGTGCTTCTTAGACAATGATCAAATTCTACATTTCAGTGTCTAGTCTATGGGAACCAAGTTAAATGCCTTCTTATATGTTTTTGCCTGGTTCCCTGATTGTGATCTTCTTAACCACATACCCTCCTCAATGAGTTCTCAAACAAAATGCCTAAGAGGCTAAGAGCTATGCATCTGCCAATGGACCCACGCAGACACATTTATGTTCTTTTTCTTTTTCTTAATATTATTTGTAAATTTTAATTAAAAGATTTAAGCTAGAATAACTGTTTCACTGTGCAATTTGAAGAAAGGGTGGAAGAGCTTTACCGGTCCCGGCATAAGGAAGCCTGAGAATAGACTCAGTAAGGTGTAGACTGCACTTGCCAATATGGAACATACTTGGATATTTGAGCTTAATGAAACTATTAGCATCCCAAGGTATACGTAATATAGAAAGGTGCAGAATGTAGCATAGAAATACCAGAAAACCTTGAAAGTTGACCAGTGATATCCTATTAGTGGATATGTAATGGCCACGTACAATATTGCTTGCAGTAGGATATAAGGTACTTCAATGGTCACCTGCAATTTACAAAAAAAATAAAAATAGCACTATTGTGTCAAGACATGCGCGCAGGCGCGCGCACACACACTACATAAGTATTATTTCTGCAAGACTAACAATATTGGACCTGTGCAAATGAATATGCCCATGAGGAGTACATCCCGGCAAATTCTTCCCGGTACAAGACATTGCGCTCAGTTGCCACATGTGGTAGGACTGTTGAACAGTTGTTTATGCCCAAGAATAAGACAGCAATAAACATTGATCCAAGTATGTTGAACAAATCCTGCTCATCATTTCTTCAGATAAAAATGTGTTATAAGATAGGGATTTATTATTCCAAGCTCCCTCTTCAGGAGAGAGAGAGAGAGAGAGAGAGAGAGAGGGAGAAAATTGGAAACTCATGTGAAGCACATACTAAATTGTTTTATTTAGAAAATAATATACTGCGAGTAGATGTTGGAAACCCTTCTATTAGCAGACATGGGTGTTATGGTTTGGGCTAAATTGGACTGAAGTACTCAAGTCTTCCACATTGGGTATGCGAGTAGAAATGGCACTAGTATTTCAATGTGATGAAATTTGTGCTAAATTGGACTGAAGTACTCAAGTCTTCCACATTAGGTATGCGAGTAGAAATGGCACTAGTATTTCAATGTGATGAAACTTGTCCCGTTTATCTTCTTCTTCTTCCATTTTTTTTTTTTGTTAGTATAGAAGTGAATGAAAAGACCACTGCATTATATATTCTAATATTTGCCTAGAAGAAAAAAAAGCCGTAGACTGAATAAAACAAGAGAGAACTTTTTTTTTTTTTTCTTTCTCCATCTAGTCTGTTATTGTCTCCCTCATGCTGATATAGATACAGCAGTGGTCAAACCATAAACAATAAAGTTGAGCCATTAGTAGTATCAAATTAGCATCTCTCAACATCTTAGAGCTTTCCGTAGGTGGATAAAAATTGGTATGTAGATTAATGTCCTGATTTGCTAGTGAGTCTTATTTATCACGCTGATATTGAATCCAGAGAGACCAAAGAAAGGACTTACATTTTTTGCCCTCTCTGCCAGAAGACTGCCCCAAACAACGCAGCTGCAACTATCATAAATATGAAACGCACCAAGTTGTATTCAGGACTTCTCCAATAGGACAAGTGTTGTTTCCAAAGGCATGCCATAAACTGTTCCCAGCTACTCTGTGGAAAACGAGTCGGGAAGTGCAAGCTTTCTGAACCTGGTAGTGGCTGACTCAACTGTTTAACCAACTCGATGGTGTCCCTAAGGCCAAAAGAACAACATGAAAATTTTATAGTACAGAACTAGAACTATTCTGATTAGGATGCATTGACAAATTAGAAACAATTTAATCTTTGACTTGAAATGCTGTTGTATGGCCCCCCAAAAGGAAAATTGAACACAGATAGCATCTTAAACCTGTATAGAGAGTTGTTCATACTGTAACAAATGCCATAAAGCATTGCTCTATATTTAACTTTAGGTGTAAGTTTCAGCTTACTCACTGATACTGTGGTGATTCTTTATAAATAGCAGCAAAATCTAAACCAAGTTCTGCTTCTACTGATGTAGAAGTGACTTCTAACATCCACGTTGCTGGGTTATAGTTCTCTCTGATCTTTGGCAAACCGTTGATACCCTGTTGGAGAAGTTACATGTCAGATGAATATGGTGCATGAACTTTTCAGTTTTGCAGATACTTCAAACTTTGTTGGGGAACAGGTGAAGAAGTAAAAAAGAAAAAGAATAAATTGATAGAGACGGACAATGAAAAATGTACTTGTGAGGTGCTAACGCGGTTCTGCTTCTATTTGAGTTCAATTACATTTGATTGAAGAAAAAATCAGGTGCCCGATTAAAAGGAAGTGGGCTTCCCATGCTAGGACTCAAAGGGGATGACGATTTTTATAGCTAATGGATATTGATTCATGCATGGTGGAGGTTGACCAATAGTTTTTTTTTTTTTTTTTAAATAAAAAAACTAAGTTACATTAAACATGCAAAATCATAGTTAGGTACAACAAATCTGAGCAACTCTGGGCATTTTGTCTAGTTCTTCTAGAGGGATTCAATACACAAGTTCCAGTGCCCTTAAAGCCTATATGTGATGGATAGCCATGACATATTTGCTTTTTGCCTACTTGAGCATAACATAATTTCTAAAAGAAAGGAAATGGTTGATTCCAAAAAAGAATTGAAGTCTTTTTTTTTATTAGGTTCAACTTGAAATTTTCGTGATATTCTTGATTGATTATGGACCCTTGCGAGGATGCAAGGATTTATAAGCGGGGGAGTTTGTAACGACCCCATCCTACATTGGAAGTTTGCATGAGTGATCTTGGGCATATAAGGCACCACTAGCTTGCTACTAAGCAACTTGGGCTTTATCTTTTGGGTCATGTTGGTAGACCCACACGTTATTTGGGCCAGCAGGTCTTGGGGCATCACAGGAACACATTGATTTCCCTCATTCCTTTTCTTCAGTTAGACTAATTTCTTTTGTGTAGAACCGAAGACTGGTGAATATCATTCGTCACATTTATATAGAAATATTTGTATAGAAGTTACTTGCTTTACCTTGCAAACCATGAGCGATATATAATTTCCTGTTGGATAATACATAATACATATTTCATTATGATGTTTGTTTTAATATTATGAATGGATTAGATCCTTATGTTATGTAAGTATTACTCATAGATATGTTTGACAGAATGTCATTCATACCAAATGTTTAAGCACATACCTCGAAATATTCAATAAGTTTACTTGAATGTTGACCCAGCATTCCTGAATAAATAATTTGTCCTCCCCTTTTCATTAGAATCAACTGCAGAAATTGGATATATGTTTAGATAAAGCTTCATATCTTGTATCTTCTGTGTAATGACACAACTGATAATTTTAGTCAACTAGAGCTCATAAATGGTAACTTTCTGTACTGCAGTATAAATTTGAAAATGAGCAAAAGGATACAGAAATAACAGTTCCATTAAAAAGGTTCAATAAACTGATTGAGTGTCCTAATTGCTCGTGCATGAAATTGGAGTAAATTCTCCATAAGAATATGGAGAGATGCTCTAGAATGGAGAAAAGTCAGACAAAGACTATATGCATTATGCTGTCATAATTTTAGTGAAAGTAGCAGCAGATGAGGAAACACTTGTTGATGACTAAGATTTGTTTCATTTATTTTATTATGGCTCACTTATTCATTAAGAAGGAAAAGTTGAAGGAAAATATTGCCTTGAAAATTCAGTAGGTTGGATGGAATGAAGAGTTGCTTCTTACTCTTGTCACATGCTCAAGTTGAATGGACTGTATAATAGCTACAAAATCAGTTGTCCTTTGTGGTACATATTACATAATATAGGCAACTTGGTGGAGGATGTTAAAGGTGAATGAATGGTAAGACTTGAAAAGATGGAGTCATGAGATGAACTTGGAGGTTGAAATACAAATAGTACTAACAGGTGACAAAATGAAAGGAACTTGACTTAGTTTGGTCATGTTTAACTTGGAACTCTGATATCAGTGGTAGGAAGGTTCAATTTGAATGTTCTATCAGGAAAAAGAAGAAAGATTAGAATATGGGTCAATGTAGTGAGTGCCAAATTGCTTGATATACATAGTTGGGCCCGTTTCCTAGCTGTTTAAGATTTTGGGATAATTGGTGATTTAACATGGTATTAGAGCTCAGGTGGGGGAAGTCTTGTGTTCAAGTCTTTCTGTTTGCATTCTTTCTTCTCTATGTATGGATGCTCTCCACGTGCAAGACAGGATTGCACATGAGGGAGGGTGTGAATAGCTTATAAATTGTGATTAAACAAAGGTTTAGGCTGCAGATTGATGGAATAGTTTTATGTAACCAGTAGAAGATGTGCACCATGAGCCTCAGCTAATGGAATTCCAATAATCTGGGATAAAGTTTTTTCTATTTTAAGTTGGTTTGGTTAGTTCCACGTGTGTAGCATATGTAGTAGCATAACCAAATTCTCCTGGACAGCAGACATCAATTATATAGGTACTCAGATGCATGATGTCCTGTGCTGTAATCAGCCCAACTAGCAAGAAAAGCTGTGTGGCTTATGAGAGAGAAATGGTTGTCAACTGCACTAAGTTAATCATAAAACTGCAATTTCTGAAGCTACCGGGTCTCGTGCTTTTTTTTTTTCGGTGATAAATTACTGGGTCTTGTGATTTGCTTGATAAATGCTACAACTTACCTCATCAAATGCCTCAAAAATATCAATGCTTGGCTGGTGAATAGTGCAAACTGTTGTCCTTCCTGTAGCAACTACATTCTTCACTGCGCGCATGACTATTGCTGCTGATCTGGCATCTAACCCTGATGTAGGCTCATCCATGAATATTATAGAGGGATTGGAAACAAGTTCTACTGCTATTGTTAACCTCTTACGCTGCTCTGTTGAAAGACCACTATGCCCAGGAATTCCAACTAAAGAGTCTCTGATACCATCAAGCTCAATTATCTCAATCACTTCTTCTACAAATTTCTGCATGAAATATATGTAGAGGCTCAATCAGTGAATTTTTTTTTTCCTTGTGGTGAAATTGAAAGGATAGCCCTTATCCTACAGCAAAGCCACAACCTAATCCCAAATTTTGTTTTCCATAATTTAGATGAAGCATTAGAAACAGTGGACATTATTATAACTTCTCTCATGCAATTTTCGGCAGACTAAAACTTCAAATGTCTAAAAGCTGCCGTGTTTACATGTCCTATGTTCTGTATTGTATAAGACACTAGGAATTGTGGGTTTCACTTCCTGATTTTTTGAGGAATGAGTAATGGAGATTCAAAGGTTATTACTTCATTATTCTTTATCTTTCTCCCTAGTTTCCCTATGAAAAAGATTGATCTTTTATTCCTAATTATGGCTTGAAGTTTTTGTATGTAAACATTTTCTTTCCAAGACAAGGTTACCCTAGTTAGGGGTGTCATATTATGTAAGTCAAACCCTATAGATTAGGCAGAAGAGTTGACTGGTGACTGGTCAAACTCTATTGGGGTGGATGTGAAATCTTAACCTAGGAATTTTTATGGGATTCTTTCATAAAGAGCAATGAAATTTGAATTTGGCTAGGCCAAATGAAGAATAGGGGTTTGATGGAGCAGCCTAATTAATTGGGGTAAGCTCACTAGCGTTTGAAGTATTTGATACATTGTTTTGAACACTACCCAGAATTTGTCAATATTTAAAATAAATGATGACATACAGCTTTGGTTTCTGGATCAATCTGTGGTGGTAACCGCAACCAAGCCGAGTATATTACTGATTCTTCCACAGTAATCTGTGGAGAGTGTATATCATGCTGCTCACAGTAACCTGATATTCTAGCAAATGTCTTCTGGACTTTGAGATACCCTCCAATTCTTATATCACCTTCAATAGTGCCTCCAGTTTTCCTTCCAGAAAGAACATCCATTAAAGTCGTTTTACCAGCCCCACTGACACCCATCAATGCTGTAAGGATTCGAGGCCTAAATGCGCCTGTCATATCTTGAAGTAGCTGAAGTTTCTCCTGATTGAAACCATGTTTTTTCATTTCCTGTGGAGAGGGAATGGTATTGTGTATTATCTTTAACATACAAAAACTTATGTATATAATATATCAATTTATGGTTGGACATGATTACCGGAGGGGTGTCAACAAAATATTGCACATCCTTAAATGTCATTGTTATTGGCTCAAATGGTAGGACTACTTTCCCTGTTAAATCAGCACATACTCTTGCATCAAACAATAAGTTAAAAAATTATTGTTTCCCAATTTCGAAAGCTGATAGTCTTGCATTCTTATTTTTATTTTTTTCAGATGAGAAACCACCAGTAACGGTACTTATCTGACCAGCTTTTTGTTTCTTGGCAATGGTTTTAGGAGAAACAGCTGGAGTGGAATCACCTTCCCGATGTTCTGTATCTTTATGATCTCCTCTTCCTTGTTGAGTTAACTTCTCTTTAGAAATAATAGCTTTAGACATTCCTGGAGCTGTATATGTAAATTTATCAATATCTTTATTCAACCCTTTGTTTACTTATTGATGAAATAGACTTACGTTTCAAATAGGTTAAGGTCAGGATGAATGCGAGGTCAAAAAGTATCATGAATCCAATCAATGCCCCTACTGATATCCAATAGAAGTAACCACCAAAGTTTAGGCCATGACTAGATAGAACACTCTGCCCTATAGTGGTGTTTCCGGTTGACACCTGCAGGTGAGAATGAACTGATAGCTTTAGCAAATTCATATCCCTTATGAAAGCACAATTAAATTATGCCATGTAGAGTTTACCTTTTGCCAACGCGGAGCAAGGAATTCATTTAATGAAACCCCAATTTCTCCATATGTCATTGGAGAAACCCAGAACCCCCACCTCAACCAAGGCGGTAAAGATGCTGCATTGGAATTTTTTTTTTAATTTTTAAATCACCTTTTATATGTAATTTAGTTGTTTTTAATAAAGCATTATATCTTTATATGACTTACATCTTGGAAGAAGAAAGCCTCCAAACAAGAACATTAGCACTAGGATCAGAGAACCAAAAGTTGTTGCAGCAACCATAGTTCGGAAAACTGAGGCAATAAATCGACACAAAGACGTTGATGCTAGATGCAGAGCAAACAGCAGAAGGAACTGGCAGAAGAACCTGACATTCATAGAAAATACGAGGTCTGACACAGAAAATTAGGGAGAAAAGCAGTATATCTGGCGTTTTTAATTCAATTAGCATATTAAATGTTGCTCACCTTTCTACTTCAGGGGAATATCCAATGACATAGTAAGTAATTGATGTCCAGACAATTGACTCAACTAATGAAAATGGAATCTTTATGATAGAAGCTGGGATAGAATAAGCCCATGCTGGATACAAGTAAAATGATTGTTGTTTGTAGAACACCGGAAGTCTAGAAACAGTTAAGGAAAGCTCTGCAACTCCATTGGTCATAAGTCGGATAAGTGTATAGAACAAAGCACCCAGATAGTAGTCTGCATGCCGCAAGTCCACAGTCATCCGAGTACGTATGAAGATTGTCATTGTCATGAATGCAATGATGATAAGCTGTGCAATTAGATATTCAAGCATGACTGTTAAGTGATTGAAGTTAAATGGTAGCAAATGTTACAAAACAGTCAAGGGATCAAGAAATATTACCTGTGTTGTTTTGAATACATAAACAAAGGAGTTTCGTTTCATGAGAAGCAACTCCCTAGCCATGCAGGCCTTGAATAGGTCCCATTTGCTCAAGGAGTAAATGCTAAAGGATAGGGCATTTTTATGGCATTGGGATCTATCATATGGCTTGGAAAGTTCCTCATCTACCTCTTTTCCTAGAGAACTTGTTTTGAAGATCTCGCAAAATTGGTCTACCGAAATGTTACTGTAGGGAAGGTCAGTTCTGCACCAGAATTGTGCTTGATCCTTTTTCGAAATTACCTGAAAATGTTCAAAAATATGCTTGTTTGTGGCTACTGGGGAAATTGCAAAAAGGGGGGGTATCAAAGTGTTTTGCGCACCTCCTGGAGGAAGTCTGCTGCACCCTTTCTTTCTGGGCACTTGAAACCACAATCCTCAAAATATTGAAGTGCATGACTGCGAGGACCATGGTACAGAATCTTCCCTTCTGCCATTAATATAAGATCATCGAATAGTTCGAAGGTTTCAGGTGCTGGTTGAAGAAGTGCAACCAATGCTGTTGCATCTGTGATGTGCACCAATTGCTGAAGATAGGTCACTATCTGAAACGTCGTGGAACTGTCTAATCCAGTTGATATTTCATCCATAAATAGAGCTTTTGTAGGACCTACAATCATCTCTCCTGCCAGAAAAATCAACCAAGCAAAGTTTGGTTGAGTAGAAATTATCTGCATGACCAACATATTCTTTCCTCTTTGAATTAGAATTTTAAGATTAATACACGTGTTACCAGTTGTCAGTCTTTTCTTCTGGCCACCTGAGATTCCTCTTTTCATTGCATCACCGACCATTATGTCAGCACAAATATCCAGTCCAAGGATCTGATGGGCCGTAATGTGGCAGTTTATTGTCAGAATAAGTAAAAATATTCTAGTTGAACTGCTTTACAACCCACATTGACCCTACTCTGATTGAAAAGAATTTACCTTCAGAATATAATCTGTCTGAAGAGTTCTTTTTTGCCCCTCAATTGAAGTCGCCTGTTAAATACCATTCTCTTTAGGATTTTCAATAGATCTTTTGAAGTAAAATAATCAATTTATAGTTATGGTTACCTTCATGAAGGTGTCAATGTCTATGTCAGGGACAATTCCTGCTTCTTTCTCCCTTTTGCTAACTTCCTTCATAATTTCTTCATTTCCAGATATGTAAGTTAAATCAACTTGTGTCATTATGAAGGCAAGTTTACACCAATATGGGATATATAAATTATGAAAGAGTGAAGTAACCGTACCTGCTCTACTTCCAACACCTTGACAGCGTGCAGAAAAATCTATCGTTTCCCTCACAGTCATCTCAGGTATGTGCAGGTCATATTGGCTTATGTAAGCTGATGTTTTCTGAGGTACAAACTCATTGAGCCTGTAGCCGTTGTAAGAGACTTCCCCCGCAACCTGAAGAAATTAAAAGGATTGAGATACATTACAAACATTGTAATGATTGGCTGGTTCAAATTCATGATTGAGATTTCTGTCTATAGAATCCTTATTAATTTGAATATGTTGAAAAGATTGTAATGATATGATTTTCGATAATAATGTTTCTTTGTCGTTTCATATTACTAACTCTCTTCATAATTTAGATTGGTTGGCAGAAATTGCCACCATTTATATCTATGCATTAGCACAGTAGTGGTGTCATACGAATGCAATTGTTTGGTGTCTGTCTATAGAGCCCATAAAATTTAAACAGGGTTTTTTTTTTCCCTTTTAAAATCATGTGATGTGATGTGATATGTTGGGAAAACTAACCTTGACAGACTGGTTTAGTTTTCCTGCTAGAGCCAATAATAAGGTGGTTTTCCCACAGCCTGGAGGCCCAAGAAGAAGAGTGAGCCTGCATCCAACAAAATTGTCCACGAACATGAATGATGGACTTTCTCTTCTCACATAAATATGAAATCTTCTCCTGTTGATACTATTTTTTTTAACAATTCTGTGCTCATCATCCTTTTAATATTACACAACTTGGCTGAATTGGATCCATAAGACAGCCTAACTTTTCTGTCTTCCCCTGCTACACAAAAATTCTAATTATATTACAGAACTGTCATTTTCTCTTCTTCTTTTTGTTTTGTTTTGTTTTGTTTTGTTTTTTTGTTTTGTGTCATTTTTTCACACACACACACAGACGCAGGGAAGGGAAGGGAAGAGGGATAGTTTCACTGTGTTATACAAACAAAAGGTTCCCAAAGCTATGTCAAAACTAGCTATTAATGAAGGAATTTGCTAGTTCATCACTCTAATGACTGTTTCCAAAAATTGTAATATTGGTATTTTGTCAGGCCATCACTATGTGTTATGATATTCTTTGCTACTGAGCCTAAATTGATGCTGACATTAGATGGGATTCATTCCTCTGTCTGGAGTTGTGAAATCATTTTTCCACAGTATTCTTCCATGTACTGTCTAATGCTACCTATATATAAGCAGCCATGTATTCGTATTACCTTGACGGTTTGATAATGCCACTGACATCCTTCACAATGCTTATCTTGGCTTTTTGAGACTTGCACTGGATAACCTTTGTGAAAACCTGTTGAAGGGTTATCTTCAATAAGCATATTGGAGAAGATTTGTGGGTTAGTTCTGATACAGATACACATGCTTCGGTGCTTCTTCAGGACCCATGCCATGCTTTGACTGCTAATATTGGATTTTTTATTTTTATTTTTGGGGGGAGGGTTACTTACAGATAGCATGCTTGCAATACAGTTCCAGAGCGTTGGGAGTGGCTTCCCTTGCACCACCTTGCATTCTGCTTCCACAGACAGGTTTTTGTATCTCACCTCAACAGTAGGTAATTTTACACCAACTCTGTAAGAAATACTATAGTTAGTCCAACTAGATGATTCATAATACCTTACAGGCAGTCATGTTTTCCTATTTGTATATATATGGTTAAAATAATGTATTGATAAATAATTTAATAAAAAGTGTTAGAATAGTAGAAAGAGAGGAAATAATATGTATTATATTAAATGAATTGTATTGAATAATATATCCTATACAATAGAAGGCTTGTATATACATAGGCTGAGAAAGAGTACCCTACTAGAAACCTAATTATGAGAAAAAATATCATACTAGAAACCTAACTATGGCTATTTCTAAATATATCTAAGAAATCAATACCTAATATATTTAGGAATACCACATATACATTAACATCCCCCTCAAACTCAAAGAGGATAAACATCTTTGAGTTTGGAGAGAGAAACTAAAATATGAAATAAAACTAAATAAAATAAAAGGCAAACAGATTGCAAAATCCGAACGGGAGCGTAAGGGCGCTTGAAATAGATCAGAGGTCAGAACTAATGCCGGGAAACAGTTTATGGTCATGTCGGACCATTGTAAGAATTGGTTGAAACTAATGCCAGGACAGTTTAAAGGGGTCATGCCGGACCGATGTAGGAGCTAACCGGAATCAATGTCGGGACAGTTTGAAGGGGTCATGCCGGACCGATGTAGTAGCTAACTGGAATCAATGTCGGGATAGTTTAAAGGGGTCATACCGGACCGATGTAGGAGCTGGATGTTGAACCAGCAAACGTGCCAAACACATAACTTATGACGTGGTGCTGAACGATGATGGCAACAGATGGCTAAGTGCACCAAGAGGTGGCTTGGATGGTGCGCCAGGGGGCGCCTTTGGTGGTGCGCCTGAGGAAGCGGCTTGGGTTGTGCGCTAGCGAGTGCAGCTTGGATTGTGCGCTAAAGGAGACGGCTAGGTGGTTTGCATGATGTATAACCATGTTCACCATGATATATGTATAATACTCCCCCTCAAACTCAAACAAGTTTGAAGATAGAAACCAATTTGAGGTTGAGGCACAGGGAAAGATAAAGTGGAGGAAAAAAAAAATATATTACAAGTTAAAAAAAATATATATGATAAAGATATTTGGGTTAGGAATAAACCAGTGGATAGAGGAAAAGATCACCACGAAGCGATACTAAAAGTAAAACATGAGAGCGGAATAGGTTGAGGTCCAACGGACGGCCAAGGCAAGGCTGCCACCTACCGGTAAGGCGAAAAACACCAAGAGCTTAACCTATAGCTCTGATACCATGTTAGAATAGTAGAAAGAGAGGAAATAATATATATTATATTGAATGAATTGTATTGAATAATATATCCTATACAATAGAAGGCTTATATATATATATATATATAGGCTAAGAAAGAGTACCCTACTAGAAACCTAATTATGAGAAAAGTATTATACTAGAAACCTAACTATGGCTATTCCTAAATATATCTAAAAAATCAATAACTAATATATTTAGGAATACTACGTATACATTAACAAAAAGAAAGAACGATATGATTCTAAATTAAGGTTTCTATATAGGGTTGGGTCCTACAAGATATACATGCAAAATTATTCATCTAAAGCTAAGGAAAAATGTTGGCTTAAGCAGATCATTTTATATGCATGAACATCTTTGTTGCACGGACCAGAGATGAAGCCAACTGTTCTGATTATTAAATTGTGGTTGCTTCTTGCAACAGATTAGTGATCATTTGATGTTTCTGGAGATATAATATATTCACATGAATTGAATAAAGTTTTAGTCTTTGCAGAAATTGGTTAGCTGTTAATCACACCGCACTTTTTTTCTTTTTTTAAAATATCAAAATTAGAGAGTGGGATTACCTGTCTATTCTCTCTCTCAGTTTCTGCAATAATCGAAGATTATCATTCTCAAGGTGCTTTATAAGCTTCTCAATGAAGAGGTGCTGTTCAAGCGCTCCAAGCTTGGTAACGTCAATCACTCTCTTCCCTTCAAATTCTGTGCTGCTTCTTCCATTGTCATGATGATTACTGTCAAACAAAGATGTTTTCAACCGTTTGTAGGTGGGTAGTCTCTCGATCACAGCCCACTGCAACGCAAGTTCATCATCCTCCTCTTGTATTGAATCTGAATGACTGCTTTTGAAGCTTGAACCACGATGGTGGTATGGTGACTGTTGAATGTTTCTTCCAACACTTGTTAGTTCCATCTCCGAAAGATATGTTTGTTGCTGCTAAAGAGAGCTTATCCTGAAGAACTCATATACTTCATCTGTAAGTCTTTGTATATATAGCAGCATTTAGTTTTTATATTGACTGTTGTGTTATGGTGAAACTGACACTTAATTGACCTCAGTTTTGTTAAACATGGAAATTAAAATAGGAATTATTTTGATTATAGAAATCTTACCTTGTATATATTCTTTTCATTATAAGAATCTTACCTTGTGTATATTATTTTTTTAATTGTACCATAAATATATTATATATATACATAATATCTACCTCATTGATTAATAAGTTAAATAATTCTTTTCATTATTTTAATTTGTTGTAAAATCCGAGGTCATTCCAGTAAATGTGTGAGTTGTAATAACAGGATCTCAGTCAATTGTCATTTAGGAATCTGGCCATTCTTTCAACATTGTTTTCATCCCTTTGATAGTTGACTGATGAGATGAGATCAAGTATCGATGAAGGCTTTTGTGTCTCTATTCTCCTTTCCTCTTTTTACTTTTTAATTTTTGTCTACAGGTACTTGTGGTGGTGGGGGCGTTTCTATTAGTGGCTTTGTTGTCATCTTTACCACCTTTACTACGAGTCTGAATCTGTGCTTCGTAGTCCTCCTGTCCTGGCCAACTGCGATTTTCCATGTTGTTCCGTTTCCGTAGAGTAGTCATGGAGGAGACCATGAAGATTAGTCGAAGCTGTCAATAAATCGCCATAAACAAGTTATGACTAATGAAATGTGAATGTGGACACAGACTGAAGATTGGGAGGGAGTTATAATTGATTTTGATTGATATACACGTGTCATCAAAAGCATAAAGGGACAAGACATTATGGGATATCTCTATAATTGCTTTCAATCTCCCAAGGAGTAATAATTTCTGCATGCTGATAGGGTATTTACAAAGTGGCATCTTTTCTTTTCCTTTATGATTTGTTTGCCGATTATAATACCATGACATTATCACATGGTTACCCTACTAGTATGCGATAATTTTTCCCCAACATTATTAGCGGTATGCTGTCAAGTATGGTTATGCAATGTTAGGTATCATGAAAAATTTTTCATGAAAATAATCATGAAAGTTTTGTGATCTTTGGATTACACTTAGAATAAAGCACTACATACTAATCAAGGTAATTCAAGAATCATAAATCTTTCATGATCATTTTCATGAAAAAAATTTCATGATCCCTAACTTTTTCCAAGTATGGATAGGCATGTGGATACGATAATGTGGAAAACTTTTAATGGTGTTACTTTAATTGCACTAGTTTTTTCTTTGGTAAAAAATAAAAAAAATATTAAAAAATTATTTTTGTATTTTTTTCTAACAGTTACACATTAATATTATACAAAAATTATTACAATTACAATTTCATAATAGTTTGGATATGTAATCTAAAATGTCTGAAAACTATTTGATATTTTTCAAAATTAAGAGTTGGTTTGGCATAAACTCGTTTGGCAAGAGGCTATTTTAGTCAATTATTATTTTATGATTTATTAATTTTTTAAAAAAGAGAAAAGTTAGGGATCATGAAAAAATTTTCATGAAATGATCATGAAATATTTATGACTCTTAGATTATCTTGATTAATGTGTGTTGCTTTATTTTAAGTGTAATCCAATGGTCATAAATCTTTCATGATCATTTTCAAAGATCACAAAACTTTCATGATTATTAATTCAAGAGGCTATTTTAGTCAATTAGCCAAAAAGTTACTAAATTAGCCAAAAAGCCAACAATCCATACCAAAAAGTCAAAGATTCTCTTTTCTCTCTACTTTTTACACATCTTTTCGTAATTAGCCAAAAAGTCATCCTAAACATACAAGTTTTTTTTACCTACTTTTTTAGCCAAATAGCCAAAAAGTTACTAAATTAGCCTGTTCCCAAACGAGGCCATACAAAAAGTCAAAAAGTCACTATCCTATTTAAATCACATCATCTTATTTAAATCACATCACCTCTTTAACACATCACATCAAACCCAATCCAAACCCAACTCATATAAGTTAATAAGTCAAAAAATACATTTTTTTTAGAACATCTCAGACCAACCCTAATATTAAGCACTGAATATATTTAGGAAGTAACTGGTACATATCTATGAGTAATTTAAAGGGTATTAGCATGTGATATGGGTATTGGCTCATAGAGTGTGCCCTGTACCTGTAATAAAAAATTGACTGACATAATATTTGCAATTTGCTTCAAGTTTTAACAGTGTTATCTTGGTTTTTAAGATTATGTTTGAATCTCAAATTTGAATAATAATTTGTAGATATGTTGACACCATAAAATATTTTCTGTCTATTGTGACCTATCTGACTCTGTGGTTCGTGCATATCTATTATGATCTTTCGAGTAAATATTTTTAAAGAATAATTTTAACTACATTTATTATTTTTTATCGTTTGCTTTATTGCAGAGCATGACAAGCCATTTGTGGAAATGGGTGGGTATTTGAAAGCCACTTGTAAGGCAAAGTAGAGATGGACTTCCCATGAAATAAGCAACATGAAGAAAGTGGAGATCGACTGCTTATGAAATAAGCAACCTGATGGGGTTAGTTTCTCTGCTCGTGTTGATGTTCCCTCTATTTTATAGTTCTCTAGGACATGTCTCTTGAAAACATGTATATTTTATTATTTTATTTTATGATTTATTAATTTTTTAAAAAAGAGAAAAGTTAGGGATCATGAAAAAATTTTCATGAAATGATCATGAAATATTTATGACTCTTAGATTATCTTGATTAATGTGTGTTGCTTTATTTTAAGTGTAATCCAATGGTCATAAATCTTTCATGATCATTTTCATGAAAGTTTTTTCATGATACCTAGCATTGCTCTTTAAAAAAATGATGGAAGTAGAGATTAAAGTCTCATTTGTTAATTATATATTTTAATTAAAAAATTATTATAAATTATCACATCACTTTGTTTACTTTTTTTATATATCTTTTTATAAAAAAATTTAAAAAAATTATTAAAATAATTTGTTCCTATACGAGGCTTGAATTCCCATGAAATAAGCAACATGGATGGAATGAAAACTACTCAGATGAAAGCTTATAAATAGACTGCTTTGAAAAATAGAATGAACCTTCAACCCAACTCCCAGAACGGACATCAAGTTGCGTTACTCAATATTTTAGGAGCAGTTTAGCTATGATTCACCTATTGATTAATGTAATTTCAGTTTCTTTATTCTTATTTAAATTCATGTAACATGCTGTAAGTGACAATTTTATTTGATCTATATCAATTCAATTACTTTTGCATCATTCTTTTTGTTTATTTACCTTCAAAGAAATCTTTGACCTGTCAAGACATAGAATTTAACCACATTACTTGATTTTTTATATTTAGTAAACAATTATGTATCGTCGGTCGATTTCTTATTATCGATTGACCTTAAATCAAATTTTTACTAACATGATGGAAAGAAAATGCGCAAGGAAAAGTAGTGAATGAAATAGAAATTTATTTTATTTTATTTTTTCCTTTCATTTTTCTTTTTCTTTTTTTTCAAATTTTTTTTGTAAAATTTAAAATCCAAATACAATCAAAATTTAAGTTGTTTTTGTTTTTGTTTTTTTCTTTCGATTGAGAAGTCTTACGTTAAACATTGAAAAGTAAGTTTTATGTGTAGCGCATTGATTCTCATATTCTTGAATTATTATGATTTTAGTGTCCATATATTACAGATAGTGTCTCATATGATGTGATGTGATGTGGTGTCATCATTCATGCAAGCTTGCTGATGATTTATTCCATACGTAAATAATGCAATATTGGCCTGAAAATTCTTCCCGCTTTCTTTTTGTCTTTATAGTTTATTATTATTATTATATAGGTAGAACAAGAGACCTCATCATCTCGATTCCTGTTTGATGATGTCCACTTTGATGATGTCCACTCACTTCCACTATCAACATTGAAATATCACCAAAGTTTAAGAAACCATAGAAGTTATTGATAATTTTTACCAGAAAAGTGATGATTCAGATTTATGTTGGTTTATTTTTGATACATTATCTTTTTATTTTTTTATTATAAATATAAAAAAATTATAAAATAAGTCATATTTGAGCCATCTCTTAAAATAAATTTTTTGTTGCCAAAAGTGTTAATTCTTTGTAGAGTGGTGATTCATCCCACTAATTTTTGGATCACTAATAGCTCTAATGAGCTTAAAAAAAAAAAAAATAAACTCAAGCCAAAACATCACATCACTTTGGTGGAGGCCACTGTGCCACATCAATAGTGATACTCTAGAGCTCCCAATTTAGTGCTCTAAAACATTATTGTTCTTTGTACTTGCCAACAAGCTTGTTGAATATATGATGTATTGTAGCTGTGTGAAGCTGGCATAGTTTAGTATGTATGATTTGATATGAGTTTGCTTACTTTTTAGTGTCTGATTTTAAGATGACTTTATCAGTTGCTTACAAGCAATGTTACATATCTTTAATTCAAGAGTTTTAAATACAGTTGTAATGTGTTGGCAAGGACAAAGAAGATGAAAACAACAATGATATATCTCATTAATTTAGGAGGATTAATGGATCACTAATGAAGTGAAAATTCAAAAAAAAAAATAAATTTAAGGCCAAAACATCACATCAGTCAGTAGGACCCACTCTCTAGAACTCCTTTAGTACTTTTAATTTAGAACTCTCAAACATTTTTCAAATAAAAAATACTAATAAAAAGTAACAATAATTATATATGAACTAATGCCACATAATTAGAGTTTTTTTAAACCTCTTATTTTAGAGCTACCAAATATCACCAAGGATCCTCTAGAGTGAAATTTTCCTAAAGTTTCATAGAGTGCTACATTGTGTGGTTGAGATTTACTGGCAAGTCACATCAGAAAAATTGATGTGACTTGCCAGTAAATCTCAACCACACAATGGAACACTTTAAAAAACTTTAAGAAAAAATCACTCTAGAGGATCCTTACTCACCAAATATTTTTGGTTGCTCACTTTTAGGGTGTGTTTGATTGGACGGACTGGAAAAGGGGGGATTAGAATCCATCGGACTTGAATCCTGGGACTGTGAATCCCCCGGACTATTTGGTCGGATTGGATATGTATCCTGTGTTTGTTTTTTCATGGGATTAGATGTCTGGATAGGACTATTTTCAGTGAATCCAACGTTTGGTTGGACGGACTGGATAAGATAAATGAACAAAAGACTATTTTACCCTTTTTCAATTGTTTACTAAGTAATAGCAATAGTAAACATATCTTTAATATTTTAATTATTTTTAGTAAACATTAAACATACTAATGGTTAAATTTTGTTTAAAGATATTTAAACATACTAATATTGATAAAAAAATTTGACTGGTATAGATTATTTTTATTTAAACAAATAAAAATTTATTGTTGAAATTAAACATACTAATGGTTAAATGTTTAAATTTTTATTTAAACAATTAACATTGAAATTATTTTGATGTACAGATTATGTTTAAACAATTAACAATTAAATAAATGTTGATGTATAGATTATGTTTAAACAATTAACAAATGTTGATGTAATTAACAATTAACAAATGTAGATGTAATCAAATGTTGATGTATTAAAACATAATTTAATAGATGTTAAATAAATATACATGTTGATGTACAGATGTTGAAATAATTTAATAAACATGTTGATGTACAAATGTTTAAATGTTTAAATAAAACATAATTTAAATAAATGAAATTATTTATTGTTGAAATTAAACATTTAATTGTTTAAATAAAACATCTATTAAAACATCTATTAAATTTAAACAATGAAATTAAATAAAACATAAACAAAATTTTAAAATAAAACATCAATAAAATATCTATAAAAAATTATTTTAAAAAATTAAATAAATAAAACATTAATAAAAAGTTAAATAAAATTATTTTATTTTTAAATTGAGACATTTAAATTTTATTGAATTTTATTAAATATAATACATAATTAAATAGTAGAGGGTCAAAATGGTCATTTTCGCATATAATCCAAACAGTGATTAGTTCCCCACTTTCTGTCCCACCCCCCAGGACAGGATAGTTCCCCATATGGGGGACATGGAGTCCGGCCGGACATGGAGTCTGCCGGACTAAAAAAAAATCAAACGACGGATAAGATGCACTATTTAGATTACAATCCAAATAGTAGATAATCCTCTCTCCTAATTCCCCCAATCAAACACACCCTCAGTGTGTCAGATTTTAAGATGACTTAACAAACACATGAATAAAGATGATATCATTTCATGCAAGGGCGGCTGCGGGCAGGATTGTCAGAGTGGGGGGCTAAAATGATAAGAAGATAGTAGTTGTAGATGAAAAATCTAATTAAGTCGGGTTATAATGAAAAATATATTTTAATTTGACTTATAATAATATAATATGATAAGTGTTGAAATTTAATTATATAAGGCTCAACTACGTTGTCATGTTGTGAGACAATTTTGTGAGTCTAAAATTATAAATCGTAACAACTACCTTGTCATATTGTGAATAAAATTTGAATTAAGTTTTGTAATTCTAAAATTGTAAGTCGGAACATTTCTCGATTGAAATAAATTTTGAATTACTTAAATAAGATTATTAAAAGACTACTTAAAATTAATTACTTGTTTTTATAGTTATAAATTGATATTGTGTAAATTTAATAAGATATATTGAATCAATAATGCTATGGTGTCTACATTTATGTACTATATTTTGTTTATTATCATATATATTATCATTGTATCGGTTTGGTTTAATAAATTCCACTACAAATCTAATACTAATGCAATTACTCATAATGATAAATAAAATATGATACATAAATATAATTAACATAACATCAATGATGCATAGTATTAAAAATTAAGGTAGCTCAACATAACATTAAAATTTTCAATTGTAATTTAAGTATATTAACATACTAAAACTATTTTTGACCAAAAAAGAAAAACTTTAAATATGCATTTCTTGATTTTAATGATTAAATATATATTTCTTAAGTTGTCAAACTTTAAAAAAAAAATCAAAAAATAATTTTAGAGTTAATTTTCTATTGGCCCAATTAAAAATAAATACTACTCAAAACTATTTATGAGCACATGGTCCAATCAAAAATATTTTCTTAAGTTGTCAAACTTTTATGAGCACATGGTCATGTTTTTAACTTTCATTCACATGCCTAAAGTTGTGGGATAATGTTGCGGGGGTCAGAAACTTTATGCACAACCTTATACTATTCACAATCAGGTAAATTATTTAATATTTTTAAAATATTATGACTCTATATTTTTTAATTAATTATTATTTAATTTGTCTCAATAGATTTCTCAATTATCCAATACAATACCCCACTTATACACTTATATATAAAAAATTTCAAACTTTTGAAGGGCCACACAACCCCTGTTGACTCCCCAAAGTGTCATTTTTTTTTTTTTTTGAACGAACAAGTAGTACCATTGATTAATAAAATATTACATATAGAATTAATCAAATATTTTTGTTTCCCACTAACTTAATTGTTTTGGAAACTTGATTAAAAGTTAATTTATTTTGAATTACATTATCTCTTTATTTTTTACACTATTTATTTTTTTAAAAAAAATTAAAAAGTCAATTTTTAATCAATTTCCTAAAACAAGCCGTAATCTCCACTATCACAAAATGAAATTTCTCATCTATATAATCCAATATTTTCTCAAATTGAACAAATAAAAAGATTAATGAATGCCAATGGAAATAATTACATGAGCAATGCTACATGGCCCAAATTCTGACTTGTTAGTCATCTTGTGGGAATCCGAATATAAAAATTAAGTAAATAATTAAATAATAATAA